CCTCAATTACCAGGAAATATTTCCTGATATGCAGGCAGCAAGAACAATGTTATAGTATTATGTTAATATTGTTTACATCATAATCGACCATTATTAACCCAGTGTTCATTTGAGACAGAAAGATATACAGTACTACTCAAAAGTGCGCTAATTTTAAGTTACCACCCTCTTGTTTGAACTGCATCAAGCACTATGTAATGCAGGACATGATTCTTGTAGTGTGCAATGCCGTAAAAACTGTAAGTGTTATGGCTAAAATTCTTGCATGACTATAACATGCAAACAAATATTTACCACTGCAGCCTGTGGACTGTTGAGTATAATAACCTTGTGAAGGATCGATGTGTCAGTATTTCACGTATTTGTATGTGTAAAACATCCTTTTTAATATGCTTCATAACCTCTCCAAATGTTTCGGATGATTCCTTCTCTGATGTTGTTTGTTGGTTGTTTTTCAGCCACAATGGTATTAACATTGGCAAATCTTGAAGGCGAGGAGAGTTTTGATGCCAGTATGCTGGGTCAGGCTGATGAAGTAGTACAGGAGAGAATTTCTGATGATGAGCTCATTGTCATCAAACGGTAAGCACACCAATGAAGCCATCATTTTTTTCCAGGTTTTTGTAAACTTTTATTATAATGAACTTGCCTTACATGGCGTTAGTTACACTAACAAATAATTTACAGAACAGTGCCAGGGGGTCTGAAGTGTCAATGTTTGATGACATCAGAGATACCAACCTCTGGGAATCTAAAATCTAGAGATCATCCTCTCTTTTGCTCCCCTTCCAAATGTATTTCAGATCTTAGCCCCATGTACTGAGCTTAATACCTATTTAAGTCTACCCATATGATAGATGTTTGATAGGTGCAGATTCAGACTTTGAACTTAATTAGATGGACTCAATTTATTTTCACAACACACAATGGTCAACAATACTTACCTATCAAAATGAATTTAAATAATATTAATTTATGCAACAGATTCATTACATGTGGGTTGGCTAACCATTTGTCTCATTAATTTCCCAGGCCTAAATCTCGCTCTGCCTCTTCAATTATCCTGAGAGGTGCAAATGACTTCATGTTAGATGAAATGGAGCGTTCCATGCATGATGCTATATGTGTTGTAAAGAGAGTGTTGGAGTCTAAGACAGTGGTCCCTGGTGGCGGAGCTGTGGAAGCTGCACTGTCCATCTACCTTGAGAACTTTGCTACGTCACTGGTAAGGAAGACATTCTGCAGTCACTTAGCTTTGATTACTAGCTGCTGTTCGGAGAAATGAGCCTGCATTCACTTGGACTTGCAAAGCAGCAGAAATCAAACTTTGCACTAAAACAGTTACTGTATGAATCTAGAGAATTAAAAATGAAAATCTGCGGGAAAATGTAGAATTTCATTTAGGACTGAAAAAAAACTACTGTTTATTAGTAGCTCTGAAGACATTTCATTTGAATGGTAACGCCTTTGGAATTCATCAAACGTCAGAAATTCACTCTAAATAAATAGCACCGTGTGAAATTACTACTGAAGTGGTTTCACTGATTTGGAATATCAAATAACAGGATTTCATCTACAGACTCAAAGTTTGTGCATGGTTAAAGTACTGCTTAATAGAGGTATCATTTGAATGCCACATCAGCATGCATACCCAAAAGTTAGAACTCCCCTAAAATTTTCCACAGCCTTACCAGGGCTGTCGCTAAGAGCAGAGGGCTGGGGATTTCCTGGCCGGCAAGTATTAGCACAAACCCCAACTACTTTGAGATGAAACTTCCTAGCTTTTCAATTTCCCGCCTCCTTATTGCGTACACCCGTCAGCTTGGAATCTTTTTGACAGCCCTGCCTACTACAGTAAGTAGGAAAAAATAACTTGTCTTTGAAAAAAAGCGTGCGTCATGGACTTGAAGATGTCTTTTTCAGTTTTCTTGAATCCATCAAGTCACGTGGCCTGCGTTGCTGACGTAATCTAACCCAGTCAGTGGAGAGCTTAAGCGGCAACGTTTTTAGCGACGCGCGTCAACCGGAAGTGAGCTTTTCTCTCCTTTAATATGCATTGACGCTTCCAAATTTGTATTGCTAAGTATCTTTACCCCTATAGAGACGATTTGCCCAAAAGTTTGCTCAAAATCACACCTCACGTGGGCAAAAAGTCCATTTCCGGGTGACGTGCCTCACTCAAAAACGTTGCTGCTTAAACTCCCTAGTAACGTCTGCAAAGCAGCACTGAAATCCTTGTTGTGGGCCCCCAACAGACTCAGCGAATTACCGGAATTTCCCTTCAACCTGATTGACAAGTGTCAGTAGCCTTTTTAACAGGCCAATCATGGCGCGTACTCAAATCCTGGCTACGCAGGTATGGGGTCAGAACTAGGATTCGACGCTGTTTCGCAGACGCACTTCACCAGTGCCCAGTTGTTCGAAGGCTGATTAGCGCTAACTCGGGGTTAAATTTTAATCCGGGTTTCTTTTTCTTATTATCAAAAGTACTCTCTCGGATAATTTTCTCTATTCTTTTTAGAGTATCCAGTCATCAAAATGTAGGCAAGAAGAATTAAACCGAATTTAAATTTTAAGCTCTAATATCTGAGTTCAAAGTTGGCATTAACCCTGGGTTATCTTAACCCAGCTTCGAACAACCCGGCCCTCAGAAGTTTAGCTCTGTCTGTGGTACAGGCTAGAAATCGTACAGAGTAAACTAAGTAGCTGTTGTTTGTGGTTAACAGGGATCCCGAGAACAGTTGGCCATTGCTGAGTTTGCAAATTCTCTCCTTGTTATTCCCAAAACGTTGGCGGTGAACGCAGCTCAAGATTCCGCTGACCTTGTTGCTAAACTGCGCGCCTATCACAACACATCGCAGATCAACACAGAAAGGTCTTCCCTTAAATGGTATGTACTCTTAGAATAATAGAGAGCTTTGATTCTAGGATAAGGACGATTACGAGGACTACATTTTCTCAGTAAAGAGGTTTAGAGAAAAAATAGAAATGAGCTGATAAAAAATAGAAAATGAGCAGATAAAGGCTGTGAAAAACAATTATTATTGATACAAAGGGCGTGAAACTACTTATATTTGTGTGGAAGTAATGAACACCTAATGATAAGTTAAGGAAAAAACAGATCACGTGGTACAAAGTCACGTGGTACAAAGTCACGTTTGCCGTTTACGGTAAAACATTAGTGAGCTTAAGCAAAGATGTTTTTAAGTGACGCACGTAGACTGGAAGTGGTCTTTTTTCATTTTTTGACGGTTGTTTTACCCAAATTTTTGGACAAATCGTCTTTATTATAGTAAAGACATTTAGGAATACAAATTTGGTAGCGTCAGGTGCTTTAAAATGAAAAAGACCTCACTTCCGGTTGACGGGCGTCGCTCAGAGCCGTCGTCATTCTACTACGGGTTTCAAAGCGAGGCTTGATATGAAAATGATCTTTCATTCTCATGCAAACAAAACTCATTTTCATTTGAAAGGTTTTGTACGTAGCCTCGTTTTAAAAGCTTGAGATCACTATTTTGGACAGCAAATACCTTTTATAGAAAATTTGCTTAACTGTGAATTACAAGACTCTTTTTTGTTTGGCAGGATTGGTTTAGATCTGATTGAGGGCAAGGTACGTGACAACAAGAAGGCAGGAGTTCTGGAGCCATCAATCAGCAAAATCAAGTGTCTAAAATTTGCAACTGAAGCAGCAATAACAATTCTTCGCATAGATGACATGATCAAACTTCGGCCAGAGAAGAAAGACGAAGGTGGTTATGAGGAGGCTGTCCGGAGAGGAGAGTTGTAAACAAATACGACATCTTTATGTACAACAAAAACTACTCCATGCCCAGTCATCTTTCACTGCAACAGCTGAACTGTGAATATTCCTAAATGATATATGGGCAAAAAAGAACTAAACTATACTTCAACAAAATGAATGAGCGTGATTCTCATTTGCACTGTCACTGTTGTAGTGTGAAAGCGTCAGTTACAGAAAAAGGGCAATAAAATTTCAAGAGTAGTTGCCATTTTTGTGTCAAACTTTGAATTCAAAGATATGTCAGATCGTAATTGTGCAAGGCGAAGACAACCTAAGACCATGCTGAATTTCTTTTAACAGTGATGAAGACGCCTTTAATAGGCGATATTGGGCTGCAGAGGTCAAATATTTTCAATTCTGATTGTATACCTGGTTCTAACTACTCTTATCCCGACAACCAGAGAGATGAGATGGAGTGGCATTTGTAGTCTAAGTCAGTAGATATTCCAAGGGGAGGGGGTGGGGGAGGGTACTTCGGAGTTAAAGTGACGGGGATAATCGAAAGGGGCCAAAAAACAAAACCCTAAAAAATTACCTCGCGCGTCAAAAGATTTTTTTTTTTTCAGAATTTTTTCCTTGTGGATGACAAGGGTAAAATGAGCGGCCAAAGCGGGGGATAGGACACAGAATGCCTTCTGGGTGATACATCCGCCATTTTCCCCTTTTTTGACAGGGAAAGCTCTGTTACAATTGGGCTATGCCACAGACAGTCCAATAAAAATTACACCCCAGGGCTGAGTTCCAAACCCAGTTAGCTCCAATGCACTGTAAACAGTGTTATACACGAGTTTTCGTGATACATGTGACTTCTTCAGGAACTCGGAAACAGGGCTGTATTCCCTTTTTGTTTATCTTTTTTACGGCTTATCTATGAAGTTCAGTACTTTTAAATGATCTTCGGTACTTTTTACGGGCTCGTAGGATGTTAGTGGTGGATTTTGCCCGCACATGCAGCTGTACTGTCGTCTATTCTCACTAATGTCATGAAATGCTTTACCGATTATGCTAATTTCATAACATAAACAAAACACAGATGAAACGCTTGGAGGTTTTTACCGATCATTTAATACTGAAATCACAGAGTGCTATCTTTTATTCCATCCGCAATCCTGGCCGGACACAAAATTACATTTTCCCAATATGGCACTAATGTGGCTTTTTAAAAGCCTTGCCGTGATTATATAGGGCAGTCTAACAATTAAAAAAACAACCCTCCTAATCTTCTATCTCGTGCAGCAGCACGAGAACCTGAACAGTGATAAGTTAATAGTTTGTTTTGGTCTGGGTAAGGGTTAGGGTTGGGGTACTTGCGGTTTTGCATAAATTTGAATATGAAAGGAAAAATGATAGACTTTATGAATTCTGGTCTTCGTAGTACGTCATCGTGCAAATGCCTAATATACTGTACCAGACTGTTCACTCTTTAATGTCTCTGTAAAATTTTATCGAAATCGCCTCTAAAACAGCTAATAGTAATAATAGTAGATCAAGCAAAATTTTGCCTTTTGAAATGAATTCATGAATAGCTCGTTGTCCCGCGCGACCTTGAGGGCGCTTATATTTCTGAAATGCTTTACCAATTATGCTAATTTCATAACATAAGGAAAACACAGATGAACCGTTGATAAACCGTCTATACAGTTGATCAAAGACCTACCGTTTGTCATTCCATTTAATTTGGACAAATCTTTCTTAGCGCAACTTTAACGCTCTTAGGAATTTAAATCGAATCTTTTAAGTCTTATACAAGTTATTCTTGTCAAAACCTAACAAATGGCACGTTTTTAGATTTCGTTTCACAGAAATTTACTTCTGAAAGTTTAAAATGAAAATTGTTTCCTGCTATTCTTAATATTCGCTACCTGCTCACTGACGAATCCCAGTTTTCAAACGTTATCCTTTTGTACAGCAACACTCTCACAAGTAAGGAGTCTTTTAAGACGATAGCGATAATTACTACTAAAAACGAGGCAGATAATCGGATTGATAGCACAGTTTGCGTAAGCCATAAAGAGGGTGACAGTATACTTTAGACTACCGCAAGACCTAATGGAACTGTCCGTTGTAAGAAAAAATATTAACTTGTTACTGTAAAAGGGTATCCAGCAAATGAAAAACACTGCAACGATAGCAACTGCCATTTTAAGAACATTTCTGTTTCTTCTTGTCCGCTGTTCCTCGGCGTTGGCTGACTGTTCGCCTGGATGAGCTTGTTTTTTAAGCTTGATCATGATTATGGAGTAAAATGCAACCAAAAGGACGGTAGGGATGTAAACGAACAAGACAGCTAGTATTAGAAAATATATGGCATATGAGCTTTTCTCTCCAAAGGTCTCCTCCCACAGAAGCTTGCACTCTATTCCTTCTTGGTCTTCAACTAGTTTGAAAGCAAACAGGTATGGTCATACTATCGTCGTTGCAACAATCCACGAGACAGGGATAAAGAACGCACAGAGCTTGGGACTGACGATAGGAGAACGTAGAGGAAATACGACCGCTCCAAATCGATCGACTGTTATCAGAACCAGGCTCTGAATCGAGACTGACGTGGAGGCATCTGCAAGGAAAGCGTGTAGCTTGCACAAGGCCTTACCAAGGCCACCATTAATGGGCCAAGAGCCAACGTGCAACTCTGCCAGGCGAATAGGGAATAGGATTAGTGGAAAAAGCAAATCTGACATGGCCATGTTCACGATCAATAGGTTAATCGGTTTTCTTAAAGTTGGTGTTTTGTAGACAATTATTCCGATAAGAGAATTTCCAACCAACGAAACAACAGTGATCAGACTGTAAGCTACTGTTTTTGCAAGTTTTTCTGCTGACGGATTTATCGGACTGCAGAAGCTTCCGTTCCCAGTCTGCTCCAACTGTGTTGTGTTCATGTTTTATGGTTTCTCTGAGGTTAAGTATTTCTTTGCTCAAGTAGCAAATCAGGGCACAGCATTCCCTGTTTCTTATTGTGCATCGTTCCTCATGTTCAGTGTTAGCTGATCCCTCACCTAGATAGATGAAATCGAACTTGTTGATTCCGGGGAAGGGAACTCCGGTCTGATCTACAAACTACGTAGTTATAGCTATCGCTAAGTGCCGACGAACAAAGATTTCACCTATTATACGCGCGCACTGTTCAGTTTTACTGCTTGAATAGCGTAGCGCGCGAATGACGTTGGAGTGACCAATTTTTGCTATTTTTGTCACAGATTTGTCATTTTTCTCATTTTAATGACAAAAGACAGACAAACATGATATTTTAAAATGACAAACTCAGACAAGTTTCGAGTCTATAAATAGTAACTGCGCACATCGCTAATGTCATTATTATGAACTCAATTCGATTGCATAAGCGAAATTACCTTGAAAATTATCATGGACAATTGCTTGCTTGCAATTGCAGACGACTTAGTGGAAACGTACTCATCTCCGACCCGAACATGTTCAAAATGTCGAAATTTGGAGCTTATGAGTTCAATTTTGTCCTACAGGCCTCCCACGCAGTCGTTCTTAGTAAGTGGAGGAGGAACGTATGACAAACCCCTGAGACATCTGCGTGGGAGACTAATTTGGTCCTAATTAACTGGATAAGTTATTACATTTTCAAAGGTCTATTTCTCCAACACAGCGTTCAACAAACAACTTTGACTAATCATGATCCGCACAGCAATCAGCATTGAAGAATATGTAGGCGAATCCTCGTTTACACTTTTTGCCTCATTAACATAGGCTTATCCTTATCTGATGAACACGAAAGCCGAGGAGGGTCTTCCGACTTCCGACTTCCGACTTCCGACTTCAGACTTCGGACTTAAGACTTCATTCTTCAAACTTCAGACTTCAGACTTGACAAGTTCGAACTCCGGATTTCTGATTTCTGACCGTTGAGACTCAATGCTGCATGGTTAGACTTCTGACCTCCCACTTCCCACTTCCCACTTCTGACTTCCCAATTCCGATTTCCGACTTCCGATTTCCAACTTCCAACTTCCCACTTCTAACTTCCCACTTCCGATTTGAACTCCTCTGTCGGGCTCGATTGCCGCTCGATCCGCCACGCGGGTATTAAGGTCAAGGCTCAGTAGAAAGAACGGCTGTACCGTTCTAGCCACGAAAGAGAACAACTAAAGTTGCTCTTGTAAAAGCAACTAAGCCCAAAGCCAATAAGGCAACTGATGAGGTTCGCTTGGGGAACCGAAACCATGGTCTCGCCTGATCACAAAGTGGCAACAGTGATAGCAAAACAGTCCAAACACTGTTAAGCTTATTAAAAACCTCTCTTGTAAAAACCTATAACCAAGGAAAGAAATACGCGCTCCAGTCAAAAGACTCACATTTTCTTTAGAAAAACACTAAGCTGGATTCTACTGAGTCACAATTCATTCTCCATAGTTGATTTCATTTTAAGCTGCACTTCAATCAGTTCAATCTTATCACTTTGTATCTGTAAATCACTATCCGTGATAATTTAACATCCTGCAAAGAAAACTAACCAGCTGGGCGGCCCAGCCCTTACTCGGCCTTAATAAAAAGCTTTAAAGAATATGCTCTTGCATCAGAGGGCAAATCCGGCCGACCAGAAACAAAAACCACAGTAAATCGATATGGGTGCCATGACCTCTCAGTGTGAAATAGGCGGCTTTTAAAACCAGATCCTTCTAGAGCATAATCTACCCAGCAGAAGGGGAAAAAACGTTTTTGGAACAAGCAGCATTTTATATATTCTTATAAGCGCATTATATACAGATCATATACACCTTTTATCGCCTTGTATACAACATATATACACTTTGATACCCCGTATATACACCTGTTTTTAACAATTATTCCACGAGCGGCGTTGGATACGCGCCGAGTTGGCTATAATCATCTCATATCCAACAAGCGCGAGTGGAATAATTGTTTTATTAAAAACGCCCACAAAATATCGAGAATTCTTCCCGACTTTATTTGTAAAAGCAACCGATTTTCAGTTTGTTTTTAATTTTGAGCAGGCGCGTACAGTTACCATATTTGGAGAGCATGGTATGGGCTGTAGAATTGCATTATCCAATGATTCAGTTTCAAATAAACGCCTTTATTTAAATTATTTATAATGTGGTTCATTTTTATCCTTGGTTTAACTTTTTTTGTTTCAAAACCATATCATTCATTACCATTCCCAAAACAAAAGTAAAGAAAATTTAAACCCAGTATATAAAATTGAACGGCAACACACACACCGTTGATACGCATCGGAAACAGATTATTATTTGGGCCTCGCCCAAATAGAGAAATCGAGATCGCTTGTTTTGATTCAAAGTTGCAATAGGCACGCAATACGTGCGAAAGTAAACAAGCCAAGTAAACAAGCCAATTGACGTGAATGACGACTCGCACAAGGTATAAACCATGCCGGAAAGAAAGTTGCGATGAATATGTTAAAGCAACGCAGGGATAAATTTAAAAAAGAGATAAACTTATAAATCTTAGCCATTTTATCTTACCTAGAAGCCGGACGATTTTCAGAAATTTGAGGGAAAATCTGTCAAAAATAATTGGAATTGACGGGTTTGGCTTACGGCGAGTTTAGCAATTTTTTTGCCCTCAGTTGTCGACAGCCAAAGAAGATGGCACGCAAAATTCCGTGATCGTGCGTGAGTTACATAAGGAATTGTTTCATGAGAGAAATGATATGCCGTGAATGGCAACATATATGTTATTTCTGACGAATGAGCCCGCGAAGAAGGCAGAAATAAATATTTTGACGGCACGAGATACAACAGGGCCTGGGTACTAGGCCGGGTGCACCATGGGTAGCCATATCGGGGGTATATAAGGCTGCGTATATCACGTGTTCGTCATCTAGGCTTACGAACCAACCTCTCCTTGGTTTTTCTTAAATTTTTGTTTTATTTATTTTTAGGAGCAACATATTCTCGATTACATTGTTAAGTCCCGTAGGAAGGGCTTTGAGCTTGAGCCTTGGTTCCTACCCAGATTTCCTGCCCGCATTTTTTCCCTTCGGGGTTTTTTTGGGCAGGTTTTTTCTGGCCTCCGTCTGACCGCATTTACTTCAGTTTGTAAGCGGTAGCTCAGCTCTGCTAGTTTTCAGCCTTTTTCCCGTTTCTTATTTTATGTACTTGTACACTAGTTATCTCAGTTTTGCACCTGCTCCTTTACTTGATATATTTAGTTTCCATGTATGCTTAGGTCAGCTGTCCCGGAACCGCTCTTTAGGAGGCGACGTAAGTCTCGTTTGACGCAGTTAGGTTGCAGGTAATGTTACAGACCTCTAGCTAGGGTCGTTATTCATTGTTTACCCTCAATGTCCCGCCCTAGCCTTTTATGGTAGTCTTACTGGTTATTGGGCTACGTGCCTTGTTGGGTACATTAGTGGAGATAATTCCCAGTTTTCCTGGCACTCAGCCTCTGTGCTCCTGAAGTGTTCCTGGTCCTAGTTATACGTTGATCACAGTTTTATTAAATTTCCCCGGCCTAACTGGCACTAAGCCTGCGTGCTTATTTGGGGGATTCAGGTCGAGATCGACCAGTTGTAGCAGTTTTTTCTTTTTGCTTAGCCTCTGTGCTCCTACCGTGTTCCTCGTGCCAGTTATGCGTTGTCTGAGTTTTATTAATTAGTTTCTCCAGCCTAACTGGCAGCCTAACTGGCAGCCTAACTGCCACTAAGCCTGTGTGCTTATTTGGGGGATTCAGGTCGAGATCGACCAGTTGTAGCAGTTTTTTCTTTTTGCTTAGCCTCTGTGCTCCTACCGTGTTCCTCGTGCCAGTTATGCGTTGTCTGAGTTTTATTAATTAGTTTCTCCAGCCTAACTGGCAGGGGCACCCAATGGATCTGTTCCTCAAAATATCTGTTCTTCATGCAAATTTTTGCTGGCTGGGAGATGTGGAAGAAATAATAGTCCTTGGAAGGAAAGTGTTGCTGGGAAAAAGATAATTCAGGGTGTCAGAGGGGATTTGAAGTCTAGAATAGCTGCTACGGGTTACTTGTATGGGTTGCTTACCTCTCAAGATCTGAATTGGGCCCTACGAAACTTCCCAGTAAGTCAGGTTGCAGGTTGTAAGGTTGCTGGCTGGGAACTCTTCCATCAGTCTTGCTGGGAGTGAGGAACAGATAATTTTTTTCCAGCAATCTCCCAAAATGCTTAAAATAGTCTCAGAAAACTTTATTCACGCTTTGTTGTTGTTTTTAGGTCTTTTTCTCAAAATTTCCCGTTGGGTGCCCCTGAACTGGCAGCCTAACTGGCACTAAGCCTGTGTGCTTATTTGGGGGATTCAGGTCGAGATCGACCAGTTGTAGCAGTTTTTTCTTTTTGTTTAGCCTCTGTACTACTACCGTGTTCCTCGCGCCAGTTATGCGTTGTCTGAGTTTTATTAATTAGTTTCCCCAGCCTAACTGGCAGCCTAACTGGCACTAAGCCTGTGTGCTTATTTGGGGGATTCAGGTCGAGATCGACCAGTTGTGAGGAGTTTTTTCTTTTTGTTTAGCCTCTGTGCTACTACCGTGTTCCGTGTGCCAGTTATGCGTTGTCTGAGTTTTATTAATTAGTTTCCCCAGAATGACTGGCAGCCTACCTGGCACTAAGCCTGCCTGCTTAAATGGGAGATTCAGGTCAAGAGCGACCATTTGTCGCACGAGTTTTATCTTTTTGTGAAAGCTAGTTTACAAGTGTTGTACATTAGGTATTCACCAGTATTCACCTATTATTGTATTTACATAAATACTTTGTAGGGTTGGTTCTCGCCAAGCCGTCCCAAAATAAACTTATTTGCCATTACGTTTTGTCTGTTGATGTTGTGTAGTGGAGTCAAAATAAAGTATTTCGGCAGTTTGATAATTTCATTATAACTAATGGATGTTAGCCTATTAATCTTGACATTGAATGATGCATAATTATAATTTGCAGATGTTCGGAAAGGAGGTGATTTCTTAAAATCTTATTGAGCAAAATGATCTTCTGAACAAGTTTTCAATTCGAACGGTGAAAATAGCAAAGTCCAACATCTTCAGGTGCAAACTGCATGCGTGAGAGTTATTTTTAAAACCCTTGAGTTAATTAGATTAAGTCGTATAGTCTCATACACGAACCACGTAAGCGACAAATTCCAAAGCCTTCACGTGCAAAGTGCGTGACAATACAACTCACAGGAAGGGCCTGATTAAAAAGTTTGGACGTTAAGTTTAATAAACTACTCAAGATGCATTTTTCTTTAATTTACTTCAGTCAGTTACAATAAATAAGTACATATCGATGATAACTAATTAAAGTAAAATAACTAGAGAATAGATAATGGCAGAAACAAGACAAAGGAAAAAACAACGCTTATGGCAATGAGGAGGGAAACTGATGCCCAGTGAAGAACACGCGGTTTTTCCTTTGTTTCGTTTCTCCTTTTACCCAACAGTTGTCAGTGGACGGGAGGAGGGAGAGTGATACACCCCCTCCCCCCTACCCTCTCCTCTGCAGAGGACCAAGACGGCTTTTTTTTTCCAGAAATTTTCAGCTAAGTGGTGCTAGGCAGTGTGGAGAAAGGTGGTCGCCTGATCGATATTTTAGTTTCCACGCCTGCTCCAGCTTCATGCAGTGGAAATCCAATCGACGAACCTTTGTAAAGGAGATACCGGTAGTCCTAACTGATAAACTACTAATACTAGAAGGAGAAATTGGCCGCTAGTAAACTTAACTTAAAATCCTTATATAGGTTTGTAAATCCTAAATGATGACCAAACTTTCTTACCAACAGTCAAACAGTATGGCAATGGTAAGGATAACATTGAGCATGCTCTTTCGTGTGAGCAAGAGTTTTGGTCTTGTGTTGAGAAAAAGTGAATATATATTATGAATTGAAAAGACTCAACGTTATTTTACTATGTTTTTTTAAAGTAAGTTCAAGAATAACTTGGAAGATCTTGTGGAAGGTCCAGACCATTTGAAATTCCTTAGGGTATGTTTCAATGCAAGTTCATTCCAATTTTTTCAACCAAAATGTGCCATGCATTATGTTGGATCTACTGTTTTGTTTGTTTGCTTCTGCAATGTTACCCCCCCCCCCCTATCCCTTGCAATGTAACCCATGTTACAAAACACTCTCTCTTACACTTTGACATAATAAATCTATTATTACAGTGTTCCTACTGTAACCTGGTCAGAATTGACAAATCTGATTAAAAGAAAATAATAACCGATGCTTTGAGATGCTTATCGTTTCCTTATGACCTGCTGATTTGCTAAAAAAAATCTACCGGAGCTTTCTCGTAATGTATCGCTGCTTTCCTGTGATCTAATTGGACAATTTTGTCCTTTTTAATACAGTAGTTGCATTGTAAGTATCAAGAATTCAAACCAAAGTCTGTAGATCACGTTTCTCTGTATACTATGACTGAATAGTCAAACTAAAAATAGAACTTTCACTTCCTCCCAATTCATTACACAGGTTGTCCCATTCGCCAGAGTCATTAGTAAGTATTTTTGCTCAAAAATCACTTGGGTGACAACACTTAAAAAGTCACTTGTAGTCAACTTAAGATAGAACTTTAAAAGTAACTCTTACTATGTACCTCCTAAGATATCAAATAACATGTTTGAACAAAAAAGAAAAAAAAATAGAAAAAAAGGAAAGAAAGAAATAACAGTCATTGACGATTATGAAGGTACCCAAGTTAAACGCTTTTCAACAATCACTGCCCCAAAATAACTGCTGTCCCCAAATAAGCACCAAACGAACAAATTATATATGCACTATGGTGCTCTCTTGAGTAAATACAGTTTACCCTGTCGTTGTCTGTATGTTTTGTTGTCAGAGTAGCTGTATTCTGTTCTGCATCATTTATCTTCACCAAGCAAGAAAGGTAGCTTAAGAAAACAGCTGGCAATTTGCAACATCACCACTGATCTCCTTGTGCAATGACGGGTATGGAATGAGCAAAGAAAATCCAAACTCATGACATGTCACTACACAAACCTGGTTAGTGCTTTAGATGGGTTAAACAGGGTGCAAAGAAGCTGTAGCTAGCATGTCCTAGCCCACAAGTCATTTCAACTAGCCCCAAAACTCTTAATGATTAGCAGGATTGATTACAATCCTTCTGTAATTGGAATTTGCTCAAAAAACAGCACTTGCCTGTCAAACAAGTTAAGAACAAAAATCACTAGCCCGATAGCAAAATCCACTAGCCCCGGGCTATCGGACACGACTTTCTTTGCATGCTGGGTTAAAGCGAATACCCGTTAGAGTAGTCATTTTTGCACATTTTGTTCCTTACATGGTCTACATCATTTTGCAGAGAAACCAGTGGAGGTAATGCAAAATTTCGGCTGTTTTCTCAGTCTACCAAAAAGGTACAGATTTAGCAATGACAGTGAATTCGTTTATCATAAAAATATATTTTTCTTTAAATAGCTAGGTTTGTTGGTTTAAAGGTTTAAGTGCTTATCTTGGCTAGATTAGTTACCATGACAACTCATATGCCATGCTTGCAGTTAACCCTTTAAATACCAAGAGTGATCAACATCAGTTTTCTCCTAACAATATGCTACAAGAATTAATAAAGTGATTATCAAGGAGAAAACACTTTGATCCTTTTAACAAATTCTCTCAACAAATTTTTTAAGGGATGTATGAACATCAATCTGGAGAATTTGTATGTGGATATTGGGCCATAAAATTAAGGGTTAACCTTTTTCAGCACTTCAACACGTCCGCTTGTGCAATATCTTTCTTTCTGTCATGGCTAAATCCCCTCTATAACAACCTGATGATGTCCTCAGAATTAATCTGTCCAAGTATCAGGAAATCTGTTCTGGTCTATGCTTTCTTGGCTTTAATAACAGCTTTTGGGGATCCATTAGCTTTGTCGTATTCCTCAGCATCAGCCTCCTCACTGTCCTCGGCAACAACTTCTTCCTTTTTCTTCTTTTCGCTCTCCTTCTTGCTCTTCTTTTTGTTGTCCTTCTTCTTGGAAGGTGTAGCAGTGCTGGCAGCATATTCACGCCACATCCTGATCTGGTAACAGATGAAGTTCCAAGCCAACCATGCTTGCATAAGGATAACGCCAGCCATTGCAGTGAGTCTGATGACAAAATTTATAATGCACTGATCACTTAACTCAAAATCCAAGCATAAAATAATCTAAATTTCCACAGAGCACTATATAAACATATCACTGGTAGAATTAATAAAATAAATCCTTGAGAGTCATAAGAGCTAGCAAGAGGGGTGGGGGGGCGGGGGAGGGGTTACTCCTGGAAATAATTCTTGGTGGGTGTGTGTACCCAGTACTCCAAATCATGGCCCCATTTCAGACAAAAACCTGTCATTTTCCACACCAGTATCCACAGGATAGAGATTTAGCCGATGGATAAGGCTCTCTACCCTTTGAACAACTGAGGCCTGGCCTCTAAAATCCATACCCGTTTTCAGACCTCCTTAGATCAGAATGCAAACAAAAAATTTCTTAAAATACCTTTCAAATTCGCACATTTCCCTTTCTTTCCTAATCATTTGGAATTGAAACAACAAATACATACATTCTTCCCCGTGGTTCCTTCTGAAACTATACCGACCCGATTCCAGACCAAAATGGGCAAACTGTACACCTGTTTTCAGACCAAAACAGCACAAAAACCATACCCTTCGGGGCGGCACATACCTATATGGTTTATATAAGGGAGTACTCCCACCTCCCTCTCCCCCACTGGGAGAAGCTGTAAGCTTATGAAATTTAAAGTTATATGATTCTTAGCTTGTTGTCCCAAGGGTACAGTAGAGCAAGTTGCCTGAGGGGGAGGGAAAGAAGGGGGGGGGGGAGGGAAAGAGGGGGGGGGGGGGTTACTGGCTGCTGCAATAGCACAGCACAGGTTTGAGCCTCTCTAATACCCCTTTCCCAATGGGGGCCTGATTTCTGTTTTTAATAGGCCTATCCCCCTACCTCACCCAGTAATCAAACCCTTAGAAGTCACCACTTGGCTACAAAATTTATTACCTAAAAGCTGTTAGTGAATCACATTATCATTGTGTTTTATTTGCTACAGTTTTGGTAGAAATGCACCTGCATCAACAGAATATGCTTTATTGACCCTACCATTGCCTAACATTATTGTGCATAGTAGGTATTAATAAGAAGATATTTGTACTATTACATACCAAAGCTGATCAGCATGCCAAGAAAAAGATTCCAACCCCTTGATTTCAAGCGAGTTTTGAATGACCCCCCACCTCTCTCTAAACTCCCTCTCAACAATAAATTTATTTCTTTACAAAATTCATGACATTATTAAATTTTAAAAATCACATCACATTTTCACCTACTCATCTACATAAATTATCCTTTGGAGTCTTACCGAATAGGTGGACTGTTGAAGTTTCCCAGGTTAACATTCAGACCAGCATTATCAAGACGTGGAAGCCCATACCTATTGTACACCATTAAAAACAAATAATAATCATAATACTTTAGAATAAGTTGGATCAAACAAAAAACCTACATTGTAAGACAAAAGGCAAGTCACATTGATTTACAAGAAACTTCATACCAAAAGGTCATAAACGTCAGAGCAATTATTGCAAATCGTGCAATGGCAAACAGAAAAGTCCAAACCCAGAAGCTAGAGGAGAGAACAAAAGAAATAATATTACGCTTAAAGAGGTTTCCGTGATTGTATTTTACACGTCTGATTAAATTAATACGATGGACACAGTTCGGAAAAGTACCAAAGATGCTTGTCTCAAATAGGTGGCTGTCTGACCATCTCTAGGTGTCTGTTTTAGCAGGGTGATATTCAGGTGCACGGTAATAAGTCTCTTCTAGTGAAAGTAAAGTAGTGCATCACAAAATGCTATAAATGAATCTTGATCTCTTGTTTAATTCTCCTTTAGTTTCACAGTCAAACAGAAGGCATTTCTGAGGAGAATCTAGAAGTTCATCAAATGCTTGTCTTAAAGAGGTGAGTGTCTGATTGGGAGTCTATGGAGTGACCCAAAGATGGAAGCTGGAACCAATTCTAGGTGTCTGTATTCAGGTTGTAAAATTAAGTCTCTTCATCTGGTTATTAACCCTTTAAGTCCCAATAGTGACCAACAGCAATTTTCTCCTGACGATTTCCATACATTGTCATGAGATGAGGTTATGAGAATTAATAAAATGATCACCTAAGAGAAAAATACTTTGATCTTTTATCAAATTCTCTCAACTAATTCTTAAAGGAAATATATGGAGATCAGTTTGGAGAATTTGTATGTGGATATTGGGGCTTAAAGGGTTAATGAAAGAGTGCATTGAAAAAGGCTTTAAATGAATCTTGATCTCGTGATAAGTTCTCCCTTTGTTTCACAATCAAACACAAGGCATTTTTGAAGGAAATCTAGAAGTTAACCAACTTTGGCACTTTTCCTAAGCAAGCTTCCAGCTGCAACAAACATGTACTTACAAGGTCTTGGCAACATCTTCTTTGCCACTAATACGCAACATTCGCATTGCATGGTTAATGCACTCCACAAAATAATGAACAACCAGGCAACAGATGGTGATATGAGTAAAGCTACAACAAAAATAAAACCAATTTTAATTAATTTTGTTCAACTTAAGGTGTAATGAAAATATAATAAAATTAGTTAAATAGTGGCAAAATTGGAAAAAGAAAAAAAGAAGCTGCCAGGTTTATCAGAGTTCTAAGGGGTCCTTTGAAGACAATGAACTTGGAGATCAAGCTTGTAATATCACCAGCAAAAATGCTTACTTTAGCATGTACGCAGCCCAGATGAAAAGCAGATATTCAATATACAACTGAATCTTGGGAAATATCTCTTCCTGCCAAAAACAAAAGATAAAGTACTTTAAAATAATGTAACATAATGATTGTGGTTGATCTTTACTTGAGAGTTATGATAATCAATGTAATTACAATATATTATATAATAAGATTGCCTTTACAGCCATTCAGAGTGATAACCATCATAATATTTCTCCTCATAATATCAAATGCTTTATGGAACAAAATGATTAGTGACAATAATTAGGAGATTATCACCCAAGATAAATTTAACAGATACCAGTAGTTCACAGAGATGCCAACCACTGGGATAAAATATCACGAGAATGTCTCTTTTGCAGCACCCACAAAATCACCCAACCCCCTTCCCTCTTAAAAAACACAAAACGACACAGTGCTCACATCATAACATGAGAGTGGCTCAGGACACTATATGAAGTCTTACATGAGGTAATATCATCCAAAGCCGCTTCAATCACTGCACTTACCCGTTTGGCTCGCATAAAGTACAGTTCAGGAAAGCAGTGCACCCAGAATGAAATTTGAAGAATGAAGTAGAATTTGAGGGTGAATCTGAAAGGGGTGTCAGATAGAGTATATTTCAGTCACAATATATTAGAGACCAGTTTAGATTCGAGGAAGAGAACATCTACGAGTATGGGATTTCAGTTCGCTTCAAGTTTTTGTGTACTCTCAAGAACTAGACACCCCAGAAAGCTTCATTTCACTTTGTTTTCACCACAAAAGTTACCACTGTAATCTTTATTGAAGGTGGTTAAGCCCTCCCCCAATCACAAAATGATTAAACTTCCAACATTATTTTGATAATTTGTTTCCACCACTACGACATTCTAGCAAGAACTCATCATAGAATGATGGCTACTGTACTACACTGTATCATCTTTACCCACCCAAATGACGCTGATTCACAAGCGAGCACTACTTAGTATAGAGAAAAATCTTGTACTCGTAGTTGTTCTAGTCTTAGAATCTAAAAGTCTCTATTATCATCATCATCAGCACACAGTTCTTGATGTGCTAGGTTTTTGTGGCAAAGGTGTTAGCAATCAGTGGTACTTTTACAGGCAAGCTGTAGAGTCCAGCCTTGGAATAAAATTTCAGAGGAGGGTTGCAGAACTAAAGTTGGCAGCCGCATGTTGAACGCAAAACTGAAATGGGCAGGGCAAATAAAAGTTGAGATTTAATTGGTCATTTCAAGGTCTTGCATTAAACTTGCCGCAAGTCATCAAACTGGGAAAACAGACCTGAAACTTAATTCACTCAGTTTCCTAACCGTAATCACTAAACTTCACAGTCATTTGGCGTTCAGCACCCAGCAAACTAAAAAATACCCCTCAGCCTGCCAACATTGCATCACTATACAACAGTTCTGGAATGTTAAACAGGACATCAAGGGTCACTTTATTTTTACCTGGGCCAATAACAGGGCAAAGAAACTGGTTCAAGTCAATTTTAGTCCTCAAGGTTAAGAATTAATTTATTAAGCAGTGAACTAACAAATGTGCTGAGAACTTACGACATTTCATTATGTGGGTAGCCTTCCCAAAGTTTTGAAATATGAGGAATAAATCCTTCCTACAAAGAAAAATATTATTAACACAAACACTAAGAACTATGCTTTAAGCAGGAAATAACAAAATATTGTATAAAATGCATTTAGCCAAGATGGAGGCAGCTATGCCTTTGAAGATAGGAGTACAGCAGATATAAACCTGGGCTCCCTATGGATGAGTTTCAAAGGTTCACCATTTGAATTTCCTAAAACTTTTCTTAGACTCCACCAAATTGGATGTCTCCATCATTTTACTGTATCATGCATACAAAATAATGTATCTCATAATGTACACAAATATACTGTTTTACCTTCAAAATGATATCTGCTCCCCAGGCAGCAAAGAAAAAGTAGAATGGAAGTAATATCCCAGAATCATTAAACTTGGTATTTTTTGTTTTTGAAAGGCGTAGTTTACGGGAGACTTTCTGTAATCAATAAAAAAAATACACTCATTACAGTACCCACAGCCAGATTAAGTTTAAATAATGGCACTTGGGGACAATCAAAAGCATTTTCAGCTAACGGATCTTGTTGCTGGTTCTATAACACGATAAGTAGTAGACCTTGACACAAATTATGGTGGGATGACTTAGTAGTCTTATGTTCAAATCTACGGAAGAAATCCTATGGCATTGAATCCAATGAGCTATCTTTGGCAGAACATTTACATGGTGTTATTCACTTCTTTGAATTTTACAAAAAGAATTTGGAACTTTTGTGAATTTTAAACATTGCTAAAAGAATGTTCTTTCTTAGGAACACAAATCTGAATGCAAGGGTAAGGGAATATTCGTATGGGATTTTGTTCTTAGGGACTATTCACATAATACCAGAATCACCAGGGTTTTCATTCTGGACGGATTTCATTCCATCTTCATACATTTCTCTGTATTATTTGTTCACATGATACCAAAATGACATTTTGTTCCCATACTAGTCATTCCGGAACGAGTTCATTCTGCATGGTTTTCAATCCACATGAAATTCTCATTCTGGTACGAAATTTCATTTTGCTATCATGTAAACTAAAAAGGATCTTTGTTCCGGAATGAAAAATCACAAATCATGTCGTCTGGAGCGAGTGGCACATGTGTATCTAATCTGGCACAAAAACCACCTGAGTGAGAATGCCTTAGGCTGAGATGGTCAATTTTATCACGTCAATGCAGGATGAGCTTCACTCTGGAACGAAACTAAATTCCGGAATGAAAGCCATTCGGGTATCAAAATTAATAAAAAGTTCCTTATGCTAAGACCTAAGCATAAAAGGGCTGGAAATATTTTGCTTTTCTACTTACATCCCAGACATATTCCTGAATGATGGCATGAACAACAATCCATGCTAATGAGTAAAAGAAAATTGTGCAGAAATCTTTGGGTCCATTTGTGTATGTTGTCGGCAGTTCCTCAGTACCTGTAGGGTGAAACAAGTATATGCCATCAAAGATCGAGGTCACGAGAATCAAGAAACTAATCATCAAATAAAAAGTGTTTTAACGGTCCACCTTCATCTGTTTTGCTTTGTAGCCTTTTTTTGGCAGTGTGCACTCTTAAAGGTGAGTCAATCTGATACAAAGATGTCAACCTCTGGAGATCTGAAATCTGGAGATCTATTTCTTTCTCTTTTGCATCACCCACCCCCCCCCATCCCATATTATCACCACCAACACCACCCTCCCCCCTTGATCCATTCCCCAAATTATAACATGCTTAGTGCATTGTATGTTTTTTTACATGATGTACAGACCATCAGAATTTGCTTTTAAGATTGTGATGATTGTTAATCATCATCAGTGATGAAATATGTTCAAAAATGTCCCAAGAATTGTACTATGAATGAAAGAAAATTTTCGAATTATAGGAAAAAAATGGGAAATTCCCAACTAAAGCACTAAAAAACCCAAAAGTCTATTTCATCTAGGAGATTAATGGACACCCGATATCTGTCCAGACTGTTTTTACATAGAATTTGTCAAAGTAATAACCTCTCAAAATGTAACTTAAATTCTTTAATTGTACAAAAATTTCAAACCAATACAAGGGTCATTTAAAGAGCTAAAAGTATTTTCTGGTGTACGTAGGTCAACTAGGGGTGAAAATTTGACACAGGGTCTTTAAACAGGTCCTTTAACAAATATCTTTTTCAGTTTCAGCCCACAAAGTTAGTTAAGCAAGTGTTAACAACCTTAAGTACTTCACAAAATATTACTTAGCAGATTTTAGGAAAGATAAACAGTAAAGTATGTATTATCTTTAACAAATTAGGAATGGTAGGAATATATCTGTACCGGCCTTTTGTCTACAACTAAATGACCAATCAAATATTCCCACGACAATAAAAGCACCAAGCTAAAATAAGATGGGAAATGCTCTTATGAGACTTTCGAAAACGGCATTACGTATTTTTTACTTGTTTAAAATAAAAGTTGAACAACGATCGCTGTCTTTAGAGACAAAAAATCTGAAACCCGCGCAAATACATTGCGTTTCACGTGGTACCCTGATATGTCGTTGCATGTGCGGGCCTCACATGTACATTCGTTAATATCGTTTGAAAAGAAAGGGTTGTGATTTCCTTTATCAGACTTACCGTTAGTAGTCCTGGTCAGATTATGCTGAGGTGCAATAAATACAGCCGCTACTTTGCTCGTTGCCTAGTTATACAGCAGTACAAAGAAATAGAATTAGGTTTTTGAAAGGTTTTACTAACACGAAGACTACACTACTCCCCCAAAAAAGCGAAAATCTCACCTGGAACATAAGTCCCATCATGAAAACCATACAGATACAAGAGACTATATCGCCATGATTGGTAATGACGAATTCATGGCTGAGAATCGGGGCATTCTTGCCCGTTTTTCGTCGGCCAGGCATTTTTTTCTGCGATAAAGCAGAAAGAAAGGAGAGAAAAGAAAGAAGGTTACTCGGGCCCAGGCTTTCAATGCCATTTGATTTGTTACCAGACTGCTTCCGTTGTGGGTTGGACTGGGTAGGTTGGGGACAATAAAAGAGTTCATGAGCAGAAAATGTGGTTTTTAATAAATGTTGATTGTAAAGATTTGAAAACTTTGCGAGATCGAGAAATGTGTTGCCCTACTTCTGCACAAAAACTGGGCAATGATGGTTAAACATGAATTTAAAAATAAAACCCTCTTTGGGCCCGAAAACTCTTCGGAAGTTTTGAGACTGTTTTGAGGAAATGTACACCTGGCTGGAGGAAGAATAGTAGACTTAATAATCATTCAGTCCTAAAATATAAAGAGTTGAGGTTTTGTCAGATCAGAAGCAGGATAGGGCTGGGAAAATCACATACAGTCAGAATTGAGAATTCCTCCATCGTGGAAGGCAGCATTGCCGAAAGATCAGCGTTTTATTTGCAATTATCAGCGTTTAACTTACCACCTTCCCCCTATAGTTGGAACCACTCGCAAACGACCACCTCTCACTATTTCGCTGGAGTATGTACCGCCCCAAAGGTAGGGCTTTTGCACCATCAGTTGGGTCTCTGAAAACGGGTATAGATTTTGCCCATTTTGGTCTGAATCAGGAAGACAGAGTAACTGAAGCGAAATCGTAAAGATCTTTTAAGAAATCTTGTTGGAGCTCTAGTCTAAAAATGATGACTTAATTTCTACCTATACCAGGTCTGAAAACGGGTGTGGAAAATAACATTTTCTTAGCCTAAAATAGAGTCAGGATTTAGAGAACCGGGCGGCACACGCCCACCAAAAATTCCCGGGAATATCCCCTGGGCCGAGTTTTGTTACTCTTAGTAGCGGAAAGTCTTCTAGTGAAAACATAGAACAACACATACATGTTTCGTCAGTTAGAAACTCTTCCAGAAAGTGTGTCCAGCCTCTACTCGATCCTCAACTTCAACTTTAACTTCATTTATTAACAGAGACCGTCCTGTGTCTCCCATAAGCCACCTGCGGCTTAGTGATCGCTTATGGGAGGAGTAGCAAACTGATCCTGACGGTAAAGCGATGAAGAGGTTCCTGATGTTACTTAAAGTCTTGTTAGTCTTGAAAACAGGCAATTTTAGTGATTGGATCGGATCTCGTGTGGCATGTAATGCACCAGTCAGTGGGGTGGGGGGAGGGGGGAGGGTGGTGCGAGGGTTTCAAATGACTGGTGCATAATTTTCTCGGGATGGCGGGTAAACCAGGTTGGTTTTCGAGGGATTCCATCCTCAAAAGGTCGAGAAGTTTTTTCCGGTTTTAATATTTCTAATGTTTACTCGTTGATATCTAGTCTGGTTTTTTATCTGGGTGAGGGAAATTAAAATCCAAAAAAGAAGCTTAGCCTTACCATTCTTTCCTGCTTCCGGTGTCACTAGCACTGGCTTAATAGCTTATACGAACCAATCAAAATACAGACAAATCGAAGGACTGTCTTTGCATAATTTGTTCACGCGATCCATAAACAGTTCGCAAATGGCGGCAGCCGCATACCTGACTATTTTTGAAGCCTGACAAGGTTTCTCGAGGAAGATATTTAAGATTTCCCTTGCACCAGTCAGAGAAATGCCCGAAAAAGAAGTTTTGCTTCCCTTGGAACTGTGGCGGGTTATTTTAAACCATCTTTCAGTGCGGGATCTATGTCGCTGTTCCCAAGTTTGCCAAGAATGGAGGGAGTTAGTGAAAAGCTTAGATTCTACTCGTTGGAAGGAGCTTTTTTTGGCTTCAAAACGGTGGAAACATCCGAACTGGCCTAACTACACACAGAAAGAACCGTCCTCTTGGAAAGACACATACAAAGTCCATCATTTGGCTTCGAAACAGTGGGTCAACCGCAGTGTCGAGGTTCGATGTGCACCTTGCTTGTATTTGTTCAGGCGAAGATTAGATCGCCGACGTATCTTCCGTGTTGGAGCGGGCAGAGAATTCCAGACTATTAAAAGCGCAATTGCTTCGGCTTCTCCTTTCGATTGCATTCTACTTCAGCCTGGTGTTTATGATGAGCAGCATGTTTTGAGTTTGAAATTCCCAATCGAAATCTGTGGTGAAGGAGAACTCGGCGATGTCCTTGTTCAAATAGCCATCGAACAGCAAGCTTCGACCACACGAATTCAAAACATTATTCTTCAACCTGGCCCGCAAAGATCTCAAACTACACTCCCTGTCATTTTAAAGGTAGGGTGAAAAATACAGATTTGTAGTTTAGAACCCAAGGCGTTGGGGAAATTAAAAATTAGTTTCATCAGTAGGCTTTCTTATGTGGTCGCTAAAGATCTGCGCTATAACGATTATACTTCGTGCGACATTTCATAGTAAACAGACCTCCTATTCTTAGTTTATGAACTAGCTTTTTATCATACTTCTGGACAAGACTTTCATATTATTATTTAATTCACCGAGAGACATTTTATATGAAATTTCTCGAACCAGGTCTGTTATTATGTAATTCTTAGGTAACATTTACACAATTTAAATTGATCAATATATTTTTAGTTTATAGTGAAATTTACCTCTCGGACATTTGTGGCTTCAAATGTATCACATTTTGCAGGATATTCTCTCCGCCCTATTAAATTTCAATTCTTTTAACCTGAAGTCGTTTTTTTATAGCTGTGTTAAAGTACACTGAAAACTTTTTTTTTTTTAGTTTTTACGCTTATATTTCCATAATTTTCACAAATTAGTTCATGGCCGTAAGAGCTTGAATTTGAAAATTGTGGTAAAAAGTTGACTAAACTTAGCTTGTTAGTTCTCTTTTTTATCACATCTTATTCTGTGTAAATTTGAATTAATTTCCTCTCTAAAAAATCTTTTCGCCCTCTGTTTGTGTATACTTGTACCACATGTACTATTTAAGGTAGCAAAAACCAGCCGCTAGATACAAAAAATAAGAAGTTGGTTTGGCTAGCATATTTGTGAAATATTGTATGTATATGGTGCGTGGCTCTTTTTCTTCCTTTTTTGTGCGTATACAGGCCAGGTGGAAACATCAAACATTGCTCAACAATTGGCACGTGCAAAGGTTTGACATATGAATCAATTACATGTATAAATGTGCAAATCTAAGGATCAACAGATTTGTATTTGGATTGATCCACTGTTCCATTTGGCTGAGCTCGTTGAGTCAAGTGAAAAAGATTTACTTCAACTCATACATCGAACTTCTCAGGTGCTAAACCTAATGCATAAATTATTTGTGATTGCAGCTACGTAGCTTTTGCTAGTGTAGACAAAAATTGGAAAGAGTGATGACGACGTTGACGGTGCTCTCATGTTAGGTTTTTGTGGCTACTGCCTCCCTTTAGGGAGCGTAGCCACTATGTTGTGGCATTGTGAGTAAGTCTGTAAGTCAGTAAGTCCATAAACTTGCACAGGAAGTCCACCATCTTGGTCTGATTGAAAGTGTGGCCGCGCATCAAAAAAGGGGTTAAAAAAATGCTTTTGGCGATGAATTTCGATGGCAGAAGTATTTTGCAGAGAAAATGGGAGCGGTTTGGACCAACAGCTATAAAATAAGAGGAAAAATCGTGGTATAAAAATATTTGTGATGCGTCTCTGTTGTGCTTCTGCCCCACAGTTCTTTGACTGTACCTGTATGACGACCACGGGGTTCGAGCCCTAGGCTAGCGGTGAATTTTTTCTTTTTTATTCGCCCTCTTTTTTCTTGGCTTTTTGTTTTTCTTTAAATTCCTCATTTAATTTTCTACAGAGCACAGTTAGGGGTCTTACCAAATTTAAGACACGAGGGAGACTTTCAGGTTTACGATGGTTAACTTCCACTTGTGGACTGGATCATCCAGACATTGAACTTGATGAGAAGATGAGCATTTTCTCTTCCACTCCCCAAGATCACGGGGGATGTACAAATTCCAGCTGGCTGGAAAGTGGTCTGAAAGTGAGAAAATGTCATGCTATGCCACTCTTGAGAACCTGTATGAGCCAAAAATGGACGGGATTTTGACCATTAGCTTCAAAATAGCAGTGGAAACATGTCTTGCATCCTACTTCACTGATGAGTTGTATCAGCTTTGTATGACATATGCTTTTCATTGCCATGAAATGCGTTTACATCGTTTTTTCACTGAGCAAAACTCTTGAGAGAATTTGAAAAATCCTTGGTGAAATTTTTGAAAAATTGTATTTACAACATTGCGGACAGCCAGATCAAGATATTTTCTTGCTTTTTAATTCTTGTTCCAAATAAGAAAATCATAGAAAGAAAAGTAGGCTATGGATATTTTCTAATTTCTTAGCACTTCATTTTGCAGCTGTTAATTTTTTTCCAAACAATGATATATTGCATACTATGACATCATTTAAAACACTTTTTCCTGCATGGCCATTATAATACATAAAATTATGTGGCAAATTTTCCATCTACTGAACAAGAATAAAAAGGTAATATTATTTTGATAGTGAGATAAACTTTTAAGAACCAAAATAGCAAGAATTTTTTCTGCCTGCTAATGAAAACCTTGTCCTATGTCAATTAAATACTATTTTTTTGGCATTTTTTGTACTTATAATAAAGCCACTTATGAAAGACAACAGCCTCTCTCTACTGAATACATTACACAGTGCAATGAATGTTCTGTTTTGAATGTGTCATAGTTGTGTTAATGGCACTGAAGGTTTATCTCCAGTGTAATATCTTTTTCCACTACATTTTTAATGACAGACTGTTGAGTTAAACACTTCTTTTGATTGTCATTTAACATGTAATTTTAAAGATCATAGAGTCTAACAAGCCATGTACACTGTTTTTGACCACATTCACAAATCAGAAAATTTTTCTCTCGGTCTATTTAAATTAGAGTCATAATACATGTAGGTGTTCTGTGCCATTGACATAATCATGCATAATGTTTTTAACAGTAGTTGTGAAAACAAAATCAATTTAATCATATCTTACAAACATAACTTTAGTTATATGTTAGATATTCAGAGTTTTCCGAGGAGAGCAACAGGGCAGCTGCTTGCCCGCTGACTCAATATTACACCTTTTATATTACAGGAAGTTTTCCCTTGTGTTAATTACCATATTGAAGAAAAAAATATATACAACGCAGTGCGTTTCAAATAAAGGAAACAGGGGGTAACATTTAAAAATGAATGAAATAAAGGCAATGTACACAAAGATTTGAAACTTGTTGCGACAATGGGGACAAAAAAATGCAAAATTCAAAAAGCAAACATTATTCGTGTATTCTTTAAATTATTTTATTATATGGCTTCAATAGAATACACGCACTGATTAGCCGTTTTCTCGTGATGACTGGGCATTGCAAGCTAGGTGTCCAAGGCATTACCATGTGTATTTAACTTGATAGTGGTCATCTTTATGGACATCCATGTTACGGTCAATAAATATTGACAGCTGTCAAAAATGGTATCTGCTGATCATGACCAGTGTCAGCTGACTGTATCGCGGGTTCAAGTGTTCAACTCATTGAGGTGACGTGCTTTTAAAAATTATCCGCTGACCAGTTGTTGGTTTTAATTGATCGCAGGCTCAGGTCCACGACGAAAAGGCCATATAATAAATAACTTACCGGTATTAACATTGTCTATCGCTTCGGTCAATACATCAAGGCCTTAATCTGAGATTTCCCTGTAATAACCAATTGGATGAGGTTAACAAGTAGTATATGTAGAGGATATTACATGGCCGTGCAGGGATACAGATTTTATCTGCCAGTGCTGAAAGTATCTCTCAGGAGTGAGCGAAGAGAATGAGTGAGAGATACTTTCAGCATGAGAAGATAAAATTTGTATCCCCAAGCGGCCATGTAATGTTCTGAATATTTTACAGATACTGATTAAATTCCTACATAAAACACAACTTTTTTTAAATTCATTTTCGAAACAGCAAAATAGTGTAATTAAGTGGTCACCTATCGCAAAATGCCTGTCACAAAAATGTTATGAAACTCGGATGTAAAGTTATAAAGGAGAAATAAAGACGATAATACTTTTATTTTCTGTTTGAAAAAGTCAAAAGTCATGTTAGTAACCATGGCGACACCAATATCCTCACACGTGAAAGAAAAAAATAGTATCTTCACTGCGTGCGATGAAGATATGATTTTTTAGTAAAAGGAAAAATCCTGGTATTTCATCAGTATCTATATAGTAAAGGGGATTAAACAAAGAAGTCTTAAGTAATTACCAATTCGATGGTTCTTTACAGTTTCATCTCTGATACTGGCGGATCAATAGTGAGCAAAAATGTACTCCTCTTTCGTGGGTGTCAAGAATGTCTGGAGTGTATTGAGTATTTGGGGTTAAAAATAATGGAAATTAAGGTTAATGATACGGAAATTATTTTACTTACCCCAGTGGGGAGGAGGGCTCTCCCTTATTTGGCTTAAGCGGGTATGTTTTGTTGAACAGGGTGTGGTTTTCCGGGTCTTGAGTTGTAAACGGGGTATAAAATTTCATTACATGTGAAGCATCTTGAACAGGGTGTCTTTTTGGTTTGGAAGCCTTCTCAAGGAATTTGAAGGCCTGGCAACAATAAGCATTCTACATTTGTGGTATTTATTCCATGATGCTGGTTTAAAAAATTGCTCAATTCAGTTTGTGTAAAGGAAATGAACCAGGGTCATTATGAGCTGTCAAACAACACCTCAGAGACAAATTTGGAGAACATAGATGCTCCATAGAAAAAGCCTTAAATCAACATCACTTTAGCCATCCTTCTGCTGTTTCAGACCACTTCTCTCTTCCAGATCATTCCATCAAGGACATAGAACTCATTCAGTTTCCATAAGGCCCGTTGAGGACTTATAATAATTTCTAAAGGCAAAACACTTGATTATGAGGTTTCTTGTTTCACTACCTATTTACTTTGCTTGAGTACCTCCCCCTCTCCCGCCCCCCACCCCTTTTAGGGTACATGTAAATACCATTTTTTCAAACTTTTTTCAATTTTAATTTAGGTTGGTACTGGACATGTTCAAGTTGACAACTGCGTTCTTGAGCAGGGTCAAGTTCAGGTATCATCTCCTGGCAGTATTGTTGTCCGCTACTGCACCTTTAATAATGCCTGTATCACTCTACGATCAGTTGGCTTTAGTAGGATTGAAAACTGCCTATTCAGCACAGACGAAACGTCAGCAGTTGTCATAGAGGGTCTTCCACCAGTCACTAGACAAAGACCCATATCCAGACCAATCGAGGACTGGATGACATCAAATGGTATTGACTCGCTGGGTTTAGAAGACTTATATGACCTGTCAGTTGTTGATGGCGATCAAGGAATGAAGAATGGAGCAAAGTTAATGTCGGGGAAAGCCATTGAACCACAAAATGAGAAATGTTTAGTGCCACCTGCTAAACTTCCTGACGAGCCAATGAAAGGACACAATGGTAGTCAGGTGACTGTTTTAACAAACGATCTCAGTCAAACTAAGACTTCACTTGGTGTTGGATGTCACACGCGGAGATACTATCTTGATGCACAGTGTCGCGAGGTTGTGAGGTCTATCCATGGTTGTATTGTAAGAAAAAATCGTTTTTGCATAGGAAAGGGGGCCGTGCTTGTCAGAAGACGAGGACATGCGTGGATTGAGGGAAACGAAATTGGCCGTTTATCACACGGTATTAGGTGTCTCACAGGTGCAAAAGTTGTGATACTTAACAACAGAATACACGACTGTGAAACTTCGGGGATTTTTTTCAGAGAACGATCTACTGGTCTGGTTGCAGGAAATCACATTTATTCCAACAAAGAAGCTGGTACGGACATTCGTAGTGGTTCAGACCCAATCTTACAGCACAATCACATTCACAGTGGAAAACGTTCTGGAGTGGTTATTTTGGACCGTGGTAAAGGGATTATTAGAGACAATGACATTTATGATAATAAAGAGGCAGGAGTTTACATTCTTTATCGTGGAAATCCCATTGTCAAGTGAGTTACAAATCATTTTAATTTTGCAAAACATCGCTAGCTGCAGGTTAATGATGTAGATTCATTTTAGCATAGGGACGTGTTATCTTATTAATAGGGAGCTTAAGATCCGACGACGGCGACGGCAACAAAACAGCAAAAAAAGCAATAGGTTTAGATTAGCAAAACCACAATTTTGCACGTGCATCACGCTTTTTTGTACATTTCTGTGCCGTCGTTGCACGACTACATGTGAAAATGCCCAATTTCACGTTTTGCTGGAGGACGGGAACACGAGACAACAACTCTCTTTTTCTTTTCTTGACCTTTGATACAGTCCTTTAGAATCAATTCCAAAAACATTTACCAGCATTTGACGAATTAAACGAGATAGAATAAGCGTCATAAAGTTTAAAGCAGCAAGCATTCACTTTTTAAGTGATGTTTTGGTAGCTGTCCCCGTCGTCGGATCTTAAGCTCCCTAACAATGATAATAGGACTGAGTGGAGTCCAATTCGGTCTGTAATCGTACGAGATATTAACAAAATCGGACGACCATGTAGCTGGAGTCCGATTTGTTTAATAGTCACGAGTATGAAGTTCTGTTACCAATTAATCATAACTACAACACAATTTGTGATGTTTTAGCCCCCTTGAAAATAAAAAAACACAAGAATTTTCAAGAATTTTCTTGCTAGCAGTTGAAAAAGAGCCATTTTAGTGCATATGGCACGTACTGTCCGATATTACATAGGCATGATGCGTACTGTGCGATTACACTGTCCCGTTAGTTCTGAAATCAGGACAGTTGATAGCCAGTCAAATTTGAGAATTTTGTTATAGTTATGATTAAACCGGTAAATGTACCTTAAACATGTCCAATATATTTCATTGTAGACACAACAGAATCTGGTCAGGACGAGCAGCTGGTGTTGCTGTGACTGAGGAAGGAAAGGGCCACATTCTGTACAATGACATTTATGGGATGGAGTGGGGTGGCGTAGACATCCGCAATGGTGGTAACCCTGTGGTGTCTAATAACTGGATCAGGGATGGACATGCCGACGGAATTGTCATTGGAGAGGGTGGCAAGGGAGTCATCATGGATAATGACATAAGAGGTATTTAATTCTCAGTGTTATTGGAGGAAAAGCCCATACTCTTACCCGGGTTTTGAATTAATTTCCTCATGACATCTCGCTACCATGTAGCAGACTCGCCACCAACGAATAACTCTGAAATAACTGACACAGTTTAATACCTAGGATTACTTCCCTAAGATTAATTTTAACATTTTTTACTTTTTCGTCAAGCTTCTGCGAATTTAAAGTCGACCCAAATACAAGTCTGTCGATCCTAACTGACGATCCTTGCGTTGAACGTCTTATGCTCTCGATAATGCAAATACTAATAATACGTGTACAGGTTTTGTGAATGTAAACTTTGACATTTGAGAGATTAAAAAACTGGCAGAAACGTTTCACAACCACTAGTCATTTCTTTGCGATATGAAAATAAGGCAACGGTTAAGAAATTTCCGTTCATGACGGTTCAAATCAGTGCTAAGCCAAGTTCTATTTTTGGTGGCGAGGTGACCAGGTACCGGTGAACCGATTTTTCCTTTTTCGGAGGAAAAAAAACAGTTTTTGTGTTACACTTCTGTGCTGTAGGTCTTTTGTGGAATTTGGCTGTTGTTCAAGATTGCCTCTGCCTGATTCCATTACATCTGAATACCTAGCTCTCTCTCACCCCTAAAAATAAGGGCTCATCATGTCCCACCGGGATTTGAGTTCCTGACCTCACAGACACTGCCGGTGTTGTATCACTGACGGTAATGAAACTACTATAAAGCCCAGTTTGCGGATATGATTGCTCCAATCACAAATTTCGTCAAGCGTAGTGATCATATGGAAACCAGCCTTAAATGAAACTTCGGAAATTCGGACTTTGATTTATTTTTGTGGTCCACATTGAGTCTTATGCCTGCACTTCTTTCTCAGTCAGTCCAAGCCCTACTTGTGTGCATTCTGTGGAAAATAATAGTATAACGGGTATATATGCGATTGCTACGATTATTAAAGAAACCAGGGCTTTGTTAATGAATCTGATTCATGTTTTTTTTTTAAGATTCTGCTAATGCTTGTTCTTGTAATAATATTTTAGAATTGAGGGTGAAAACGAGTACGAGATTTAACTTAAAGTTTTTGCGCGTGTTCTCAAACAAAAAGACACCCGGGAAACCTTCATTTTCCTTTTTTTTCACCGAAAAAGTTAGTACGGTTATTTATACTGAGGGAGGTTAAGCCCTCTCCCGATAGCAAAAGGATAAAACTTCTTACATTTCATAACTTGTTTTTGCCACTACGACATTCTCCCTAAAACCCGTTGTAGAATGACGACGACGGCGATCACGTTTTCCCGCTGGTTCACGCGCGTGCACTACTTATTATTGGGAAAATCTCGTACTCGTAGTCGTCCTCGTCCTCGAATCTAAAGCTCTCTATTGTCATCCAGGAAACAGTGGTTGTGGAGTGTGGATCCTCACTGTCTCCAAGCCACTCATCTACGGAAATCGAATCGCGGACTGTGGAGACAGCGGAGTGGCCCTTGTTAGTAACAGTGACCTGCATCATGATAATCAACAGCTTAGCTCACAGTTTTCGCAGTCAGAGCAAGAGGTAAGTCGAGTAATGTCGTGTCTTAACCCTTTCACTGCCAAATGTGGCCAAAGGCAAATTTCGACCAAATTTCCAAATTTCGTTTTCAAAAATTTTGACAAACAAATAGCATCATGTGAAAGTACAGGCAGAGAGCTTTCATTTGAATGGTCACATCATAGGATTTCGTCCGCAGACTCAAAAGTTAGAGTCGCCTTACAAAACTCCATCAAGTACTCTGGCAGTGAAGGGGTTAATACAGCATGTGTCAACCTCATACCCAGGGTTCTCTCCTACCCGTCCCTACGGAGCTAGAGAGAACCTGGGAACGAGGTTGTACATGTATATGGCTGAATCCGCGAGCGGGCAAGGTGAAGCGAATCCTGTGTTCTGATTGGCTATCGGAGCGGGCAAGATCGGCTCATCTTGCTGGTCCATCCTGCGTTGGTCCTGCAAGAAAAATTTCTCTTTTTGGCTATTTCATAAATCCTTTATTGACCAAGTTTGTTTCATCAAGGTGGCTGAATGTTGGCCTGTTCTTTTTTGCGTTTTTTTGTTGAGTGGTTTTAGTGGGAAGATTTTGGTGTTTTGAATAGGTGGTCGCACATGGAGGTTAATTCGACCTTATTTGATGTTGTTTGGTGTTCTCATCACTTATGTCTTACTACCGTTAGCTATGGAACTGTGTACAGTCCCCATCCCCTCCCCTGCCGAGGGAAGGAGATGGTGCACGGCTACCGTGAAATCTTTCTGGATTATTCAATTGTTTTATCCTCATTTAGGAACAGCAAATGCAACCGTTATTCTTTGATGAAGATTTGTCTTCCGCTTCCAACTTTGACGACCATGAGCAGTCAATTGATTTGAACGGTAAGAGAACAAAGTTTCTCACCTAAGTTACAATTAGACTGTTTCAGGAGGAGCCCCTTATTTTCCTCGGGGATGATAGGGCGTGAGAAGTACACGAGTGTGCGTGCGCGTGCAAGCTCCCCATGAGGAAGTTTTATTCTCTCTTCCCTCTTTCCCTCTGCTTCTCAGCTTTCTCGTGGGTGAAATTTTTCGCGCGCGCTCACGAGTTTCAATCGCTCTGCTATCTAAGAGGAAAATAAAAGACTAGTTGTAGTGCAGTATGTTTCGGAAAGGCCTGGCAAAATAATTATTCTGGCCAATCCCAAGACAGCTAAAAGTCAAATAAGTCCATTAGATCTTTAAGCGGATTGTTGTTGGCGCCAGTCGCGGGAAAATGTCTGATTTGTTTTGCCTTCCACTTCTGATTGGCTTGAAAATTGTCTCGAGATTTTTCAGTTAATCGCGAAGCGAGGATGCTAGACAACTGAAAACCACGGCGGCCCAACCTTTATCCGCCCTGTTGAAAACTGTTCTAAAAGTCCGCTGTGCAACGCATCATCAGAGAAGTGTTCTACAAATAAATAAAAGGAGTAGATTGTATTGTGCTTTTTTCTTTTCATGTTTAACAGGCCCTCGACCAGACAAGAACTTTGCTTGTGTAGACAACAACACAATTTTCGACAACGCAGGTCACGGTATCTATTTTTCCGGCAGCGAGGGGCTGCTTATCAGGGGCAATAACGTGCACAACAATGAAGGCTGCGGTATTAAAATCGCTAAACCAGCGGAAATCACCATTGAGGACAACAGTGTCTGCAGAAACAACAGCTCCGGTGTAAGTATTGAAATAGCCTGCAGTGCCAATGTCAGCGGAAACGGTATCTATGGAAACCGAAAGCACGGAATTGTCGTGTCTGGAAAGGGCTTGATCAAGGAAAATGACGTTTTTTGCAACGTTTTAAGTGGGGTTGAACTGAGGGGTCCTGGAGATCCTTACATCACTAGAAATCGCATACAATCCACCGACCACTACGGCGTAAATATTCTCGAAAACGCGCGCGGATATGTGGATAGTAATGACATTTACCAGTGCAGCGCGGCAGGTTTGTATCAACATCCCGACAGCACAGTGCTGGTGATAAACAATCGCACAATTCCGGTCAATACCAAAAATGGTCGTCAAGTGCGCATCGTCAACGAAGGTACTAACGACTGCAGGCACGACCCGGTGGGACTGGATCTAGACTCGCCTCCGCGTCCACTACTTCCTGATAAGAACAGTAAATTTCCGAGGCCGGCAATGTCCCGGATTTCGATGTCATCGTCAGGGAATGGGCACTTAGTGGCGGGAATGACGTCATGTAATGGACGAAGTCGTTTCTGCGTGGTTTCTTGATTAACACTAAGCTGGTCGGACATTCCGGCTACAATAACCATCACATTCCGTCGTGAGCCCAACTAATAATAAGTATCTTGTCAGCGTCTTAGACTTTTAGTTTGAAATTAGATTTCGCTATTTTCACAATCGTCCGCATAATCCAATATGGTAGTTGAACTTCCGCGAGGTACTCGTTTTCAATACAAGGCTGGAGTCGAGGTTATCGACTCCAGACCTGTTCTTCACTGTGAATGACTGAGCCATAACACCCAAGGCTCTGGTGACGAGTATGAGTCAACACACGTTAGTCACTAAAGCATGCTCAATTGAACAGGAATATGTTTACTGCAAGCGTGCGTTTCCCCTTTAAAACGATTTAATGTCATGTTTCACGTCGGCTGTTGTTTGCAGAAAACAGTCTTTATCCATTGCTTTACTTTCATAAGCTATTTTAAATGTCGATAAACATAAACACAAAATTGCTTTCTAACCAGGTACCAAAAATTTTCGGAAATGTCGTTCGGTAATTTTCGTTTTATTTTTTTCATTTACCTGTCGTTTTTGCCGAGGAGAAACAGGCGCGGCTGTGAAGACCTGAAAGCCTGAAACTTGTTAGTCTTCCTCCCAGTCTCGTCCGCTGGCCAGTTCGTACCAACCGAGTGACGTTTTCCCGACAAGCTTGACAGATGACGTCACGTCCGAAATCGCCGAGGACGACTGGGAACGAGGCTGTCTTCAGTCTTCCGGCATGTGTTCTTTGTGTCGTCACCAAACGCTGCTTCCTGTTCGATGGTGTTTCTTTTAATGACCATGTTCTCTAAAGAACATACGCACTAGATGCTTATTGCATTTGGACACTTAATGAGAAAAATATGTGTTCAGAGATTAAACTAAACATTTTTATCCCAGTGTAAAACACATTAAAAGTCTCCAATTTGTAAGGTAAAAAATATATAACTTTTGATATCAAAATTTACCGAACGTCGCCATTAATCTATCTGCAATTGCGCAGAAACAAACAAACAAACAAACAAAATAGTTAATATTAAACACCTTTCTAGTAAATTTATTTTGCATAATAGTTATTTATGTTTTTTCGCTTATTTTGCTTATTGTAAGGGTCAAGGGTTGCCACTCAGTTTATCTTCCTGAATCCGCCTTTGACCTTAAATACGAGAAATTTCCAGTTTTTCGATGTATTTATAGTTTGCATTTTTTTGTTTTGATTTGTTTTTGTTTCTTTTTGGTTGTATATGTATGTCGTACTTTATACCTTTTCCGCCTCGTCCCCAGGCTGTCCTCTACTCGTCCCCGGAGCGATATATGACAAGTAGGAGAGAACCCTGGGAACGAGGTTGCCTTCCCGGCATTCCGTTCAGTGAGCACACAATAAAACGAGGTCGAGGCTTGAATGGAGAATTCCATACAAATCGCTGAAGTTGTCTCTTCAAGCCTTAGGCCATTTTGTCTCTTCTTGATCGTGAAGGAGAAAGATAGGCTCTTGCTGAACCGCGTCAAGGCTTTGAAATCACCTCAGGCCGAATTTCTAAACTAGTCAATCTTCTTTTCTCTCGTCAAAACTAGTTTTTCGATCGCGAGCATCCGTTTATTCGGATAAACCGATGGTCATAACTGAGCCCGGTGAACCAAGCGCACAGCTATTAGGTCTGGGTTCAAAACAGTATTCTAGCAACACGCAACGCATGTTCAACGAAGATTTGTACTCGATCAGTCATGCAGATTATTTTCAAGTCCGCAAAATCGAGCATGCAAGTGAAAGAAAGGCTCTGCTAGTACCGTGGAACCTTTCACGGAAATGCTGGAAGGGCCTAATTTTTATCATATTGTGAACATGGCAACAGAAAACAGGCAAAGACGTGCTACTTTTCCATACATAAAAGTGTGAGTAACTAGCTACTCGATTAAAAAATAGAATATTGAAGAGAGTTTGTTTATTGGTACTAAAATGTGTGTATAAAAGATTAAAAGCAATAATAGGTGTTACTTAAGGAATTCAGCTTTCACAACCAGATGATTAATTTGAACGTAAATTATACCTCTATCTAAGCTAATTTAACCCAAACTTTGGTCTTTTGACTCGACTTTAACACCACAGATTGGATTAATTGTGTGGAATGAAATTTGATTAAATCTTATACTTGAAGAGTAAACGGCTTGTTCTCAGTTTCTTTATACTAGCTCTACTTCTTCTCCAGGGATCTCTTCTTGCTCGCCGATAGTGCGCGTTGTGCCTTAAGGTACGGTAAAACGGGCTAAAAAACGTGTTTTGCCACATTGCTGTAAAATAAGTTGAAAAGCAATGGTAGTCTTTACACTAGAGCCTAAATAAGCTAAGACATATTTCAAGACAAGTAAATTTTAATTACTTGAGATCTTACTTAGGCCTTTACACATGAATTTTTGGTTAAGTAAAACTTAGCGGCTCTTAAGTCTTACTTAACAGCCTAGTGTAAAGACAACCAATGTTGCGCGTTTTACCACCCACGTTCAATCAGGTTGTTGCAGGTCGCGAAGAGTTGTTGCAGAAAGTAGAGAGTAGTTCTACTTTTGCAACAGCGTTGGTACGTGTTGCGCGTTTTACCGGCCCAAGGCAAACTTGTTTTGCAGCAAGTGACGTGACTCCCGTGTACCCGTGTATGGCGTGACTCCCGCGTAATTTTATCCAATCAGAAGCCAGTATACACACAACCTGCAGCAACGATAATTTTTTGGCAAGACAGGTTTGAATGTGGGTGGTAAAACGCGCAAAAAAGCCTTTCAACTCGTTTTGCAGCTATGTTGCAAAACAAGCTGCACATTTTCTTGCCCGTTTTACCGCAGCTTTACGAAGACTGCACGGCTCCCAGTGAACGGCGCCTCGATCGCGTGTTACACCCTTCCTACGACGCCCTGCGCCTTGCCGCCTGGGGACAAGGCAGAACTACATCAAGTCAGCCCAATTAACACCCCCAAATATACCGACACAACAGGCCATTGTGTTTAGACAATTAAGGTGGCTCTTTTATCCTGAATGGCTTTAGGTACAGTTTCTTCGAAGAAAACGTCTCCCGGTCAGAAGGCCTAGGGTCCTATCTGGTCACCTCGCCACCAACGAAATCGCCATCAAGCATTAATTGTTTTGAACCTTGATTCAAGAACGGAAATTTCTTAACTGTTACTATATTTTACATTTCACACGAATGACCAGTGGATGTGAAAATTTTCTGTCAGTTTTTTTTATAATCTCTCAAATGCCAAAGTTTACACCCACCGAAGCTATACATGTATTATTACTGTTTGCATTATATACCAAGAGCATCATGAAAGACGTTCGACGATTTCAAGGATCGTCAATTGATCGACAGATTTGAATATGGGTCGATTTTAAATTCGAATACACTTGACGAACAAGTAAAAATCTTAGGTAGGCAATCCCGGTATTAAACTGTGTCAGTTATTTGAGAGTTATTCGTTGGTGACGAGTCGACTTATTGGTGGCGAGATGACCGCAAACCCGCCTACCCGAACTATCCTGGGCGAGCTAAAAATATAACCTGCGATCAGGCGTTTTTTTTTAAGGGAAAGCGTGGAACAAAGGTTCTTTTCCCCTGACTATTTTTATGCATACTACTGACATGCATGTCTGCTACGCTCTTTCGAACTTCACGTCTTGTATTTCTAACCTTATCTTCCGACTTATTGGGCGACGAATTCCGCCTAAATGAACGACTTATACTTAGATATCATATGGAGTCAGGTTCGTTCAAAACTGTCCGTCGCTGTCTAGACTCAAGCATTGGAATTCCGGTCCTTGTTCTTCCAAACATTAGAATTCTGACTTTATTCTTCCAAACATTGGATTTCTGACCTTATTCTTCCAAACACTGGAATTCCGATCCTTATCCATCCATGCACTGGAATCCCGATCCTGCTTATCCATCTAAACATTGGAATTCTGATCCTTATTCTTCCAAACATTGGAATGCTTATCCTTGTCTTTCCATACATTGGAATTCCGATCCTTATTTTTCAAACAAGCGATTTACCTTTTTTACTGCCACTACTTCTTACGTAAGATTACAGCATTACATTCAATTTTAGATACAATTCATATCGTACCACTGGTTACAATACAAGATATCTTAATCTTGAAAAATAATACAGTTATAGTTGAACAAGAACAGTTTCGTAAAATAGGTCATATAGAATGATCAAAACGGCGAGTGTTGGGGAGACCTGAGAAAGCCAAAGGCTTGTTCAAGGACGGTCCCCCTGTGATTTGGTCATTGGTTGACATAATTTATATCAGAAGAATTTATAGCAGAAGAATACAGCAGACTACAGTCAGCAATTTCAAAGGTACGAGAAAGAAAGTCACAAACATAGAGAGAAGAAAAAGTTGTTGAGCTTGAGACGGATAATGAAAGGGAATTCCAAATTTTTGCACCTAAGTAATAACGTAAATCCTCTATTAAGCCTCGCCTCTTTTCAGGGAAAGAAAGATAATAAGCTCTCCTTCCACAACTAAGCCCCCCATCCCCTCCCCCAATTATTCTTCACTAAAGAATGATAGACTGTATCAGTCAACCACGACTGTAAAACTTTCGTGTGCACTGATCCGGGATGGCCGGTTTATTTATACCAACTGGAAGTTCAGATTTGATCACTGAACCTCGTCTGTATGACCTGCGACCTTCTTGTACTTAAGCTTTTCCACTTTGTTGTCTAGTTCTCTATGGAGAACTGATACCGTCGTCTTTTCTAAATCAAATATGCCCCCCTCTCAAATAGGGCCCCCCCGAAATGGGCTTGAAATAATTAAATCCTGCGGGGAGCTTAATCAGGATAGAGGATTTCAGGTAGTAAACTGTTTTTAAAATATTTTTTCGACAAACGGTACAATTATGACCTTATCTACGGTAAACATTTGTATTCTTATCTTTTCTTTCCACTCACTGGAATTTTTATCTTATCCTTCCAATTGATTTGGAGACTTTGGAAATCGAAAAGTTTAGAACTCGAAACATTTGAATTTAAGAGTTTGGAAGTCCATGCATTTCAACAGTTCCGAGTTCCAAAAACTCCTACTTTCAAAACGAGGCTAAGTGCAAAACCCTTGTTGTGAAAATGAGTTTTATTTGCATGAGATTCATATCAATGACATCAATATCTTCGCCCCTGACCTCGCTTTAAAACAGAGGCTTCAGGCAAATCATAAATGGCCTATTGAAAGGTCTGAATTGACATTTGAATTCAAGTTTGGAGTTCCTAACATTTGAATTGAAGGTAGAGTTTTGACTTTTAAACGTTTGAATTTAAAAGTTTTGAAAGGCAAACATTTGAATTCAAACATGAATAGAGAAGAGTCGTGGATTCAAATGTTTTGCTATAAATCTCTTAATTTGAAAAATAAATTGAAAAATTTGGAATAACAAACTTATGAATTTAAATTTTGGAATTCCAAACTCGTTATTTCCAGTAACTGAAACTCCTAATTCTTTATGTCTTGTAGTCATATATTTGGCAATCAAATTCCTTGAATTTATTTAAAATGTTTGCCGGAAATCAAAACTGACTTGAATTCAAAGTTTGAAATCTCGTAAGATCTGTAACGAGATTTCAAATTACATTCTTCTACAAAAAGAAGCTTCTAAGAATTTGGAAGGTTGGGATTCTCTGAGATGACCAGATTCCATTTTAAACAATTATTGAATGAGGTTTTTGTGATGATATCCGGAAATCGCAGTCGTAGGAATATGAGCGCCTTTTCTTGCGCGGTTTCCGGTTTATTAACCTTGATTGCGTGGAGCCTGGGGAGTACACCGGAAGTTATTTGGTTGTGCGATCGAGGCTTCAAAATGCTCCAGTTCAATGGATCTCTCCGCGAACGAAAATGAATTTCCTCGTATTCGGGAGCAAGGCTTTCCTTTCATGTAACCAGTTTTTGCTCTGATTTCGTATCCTTAACGTGATACCTTTGTTTCCAATGCCTTCGCTAGAGAATTACGTACAGAAAATTCACAAAAAACTCAACAACGAAGGCCTCGAAACAAGAAAGGTATGACTTGGTTTTTGTTATGCTTACGTGTTGTGACTTCACTTAGACTTAAATTAAGATAAGTTTGAATATGCTTACAATTAGGTTCGACATATTGTAGATTCCATCCTGGTTGTTGTCATACATGGTTACTTTTGTGAATCGAGTACTGTTCTTTAAAAATTTTTGCAGGTCAAGAAATATCTTCAAGAGCTTGATCGCCTTCAGATCACATTGGATGTCTTAAAAGTAAGTTGATATGTAAATTACAAGACGCCATTTTGATTCGGCGGACAAAAAAACAACCATGAGTAGATATGAAAAACCCTGGCATAAGGCAAAAAGCATCGTCTTTAAGAAAATGAGTATTAAAGCTTTAAAAAAAAAGCTATATGATATATGAAAACCTATATACACTGTAAAAAAAATACTGGTAAGGAATTTAGTTTTGTTCAGTTTTTTAATATTGTTATAATATATTCGGTTGCATAATTTAAAACAATAATTGCATGAGACTGAGTATCATCTGAAGAACTATGGCGATCAAGGAGGGTATTATCCATGGAGGGCGTTGACACCCTCTGAGATCTCAATAATTCTTCAGGTGATATGAGAGCCGAATTCGATAATTGTTTTATTATTTATTCAAAATAATTCCTAGTTTAAAAACAAGCTAAAACATGCTTACCTTCAAAGGTTGTTCAGCTCGGCAAATATTCCCCAAATAGAAGATGTCATCCATCAAGTTGTCTTCTTGCTGTTCTTGTTATGTGTTTAGCAAATAGTTTGCCCATTTATTCCTCGTGAAACGAGTGAATTGTTCCGCCATTTTTTACTCACTACCAAAACAACTCTACCTCATCTCCGGGTCTTCTCAGTTAACGGTCCAATAATCCGGCAATTTGCGGCACAATTGACGTCATTTTTCACATATCGGAAAATTCTTCCAAATTTGGTCAGCAATAGCTGGCTATGATGAATATTATGCATGGGATTTTAGCCAATCAGAAACGGAGAAATATTTTGAATGAATAATAATAAACAATTTTTGAATGGGGCTGAGTATGATATGAAGTACTAGATACAGATCAAAAGAAAAATTATCCATCAAGGCCGAAAGGCTGAGACAGATAACGGCTCATCACACCATACCTTTACAAAAGCCAAATTCAATTATTGTTTTATTAAATTCATTCAAATTATAATTCTAAGTTCTCAACAACTTTATCTCCTTGTAGACGTCTTTAACCAAACTCACTCTAAATATGACTAAAACCGAGTTCATGTTAATTGGATCTAGGCAGAGGCTAAGTACTGTAACAGTTTCCCCAACAATAGTGACCAACATCAATTTTCTCCTAACTATTTCCATACAATGTCAAGAGATTAGGTTATGAGAATTAATTAAATGATCACCTACGGGAAAATACCTTGATCTTTTATCAAATTCTCTCAACTTATTCTTTAAAGAAATGCATAGAGATCAGTTTGGAGAATTTGCTTGTGGATATTGGGACTAAAGGGTTAAAATATTGGCTCTATTAGTCACTAGGGTGTCAGGGTTGAAACAGATGTTTTTTTCTTGCAGATGCTCCTCAAAACTTAGAAGGCGTCCGTTGAGCCATATTTTAAGCATATTCTTGCATTTCTTCCTCTCAGTTTTAGTCAGAAATTTGTCCATTTCACATTCAGATAGTCGTGGACTCTTTCAAAATTTGTTTGAATTAATTTACGCATATTAAGCAGCTAGCTGCCACACCACTGCCTGGAAACAAAGTTGCTATATTTTATATATAATGGGGCAATAAACCACTTACCCCTTTAAGCCCCAATATCCACATGCAAATTCTCCAAACTGATCTCCATACATTTTTTTTAAGAATTAGTTGAGAGAATTAAATTATTTTGATAAAGGATCAAGGCATTTTCTCTTTGGTTATCATTTTCTTAATTCTGGTAACTTTATCTGTTGACAATGTATGGACATCGTTAGGAGAAAATTGTTGTTGGTCACCATTGGGACTTAAAGGGTTAAACTGGTTGGTTTTTGTGTACATCCTCTTGTGGTCAATGCTAGCTGGTTACAAAGATTAGCTGATTGTGCAATACATTGAATGAATAATAACTTAGCTGAACGAGTATTAGCTTGTGTGCAAGCTCTCCATTTGGAAGAGTCACGAGAAGTCACGCGAGAGCAGTGTGCGAAAGGAGACGCTAGTGCAAGGGATGGGAAAGAAATGGAGAGCATGCAATGATCTCCCATAAAAAATGTCACGGACAAATGTTTTGTCAATATGAAGACAATTTACGAGGACGCTGTTTAATTTGTTATCAATTCTGTAACTTTCACAAGATCATCCTAAGGAAGTTCCTCATGGTCGATAATTTGTCATAGTCTCACACTAAAAAATAATATTAATAATTGAATCTGTGACTTTATTTACTTTGTAGTGATGCTTTTCATTTGCAATTGTTTTCCACAGGCAACTGGAATTGGTAGAGCTGTCAATCGATATCGAAAACATGGTAGTGAAATTGGAGATCTTGCATCAGGCCTGGTGACAAAATGGAAGGAGTTGTTGAAAAAAGAACCTGGCCCCAGCCATAAATACCCTTCCTCAAATGACAGTTGTAAAGGTATATTTCACTTGAGCAGCAGCCATAGTGACTACTCACAAAGAGAAAGTGTCAGCGTGTCTTCCAGAAGTGAGGTAAAAATTGACCACAGCCAACTAAAAATCAAACATGACAAATCTGAGTACAGAACAGGGGAACTGAGAGCAAAGATAGATGGACCCTCAGAAAGTGATGATATAGACATGGACTGTGTAGATAACAAACAGGGGGAATTCCAGCACAAAATGGGAAAAATAAAAGCTAAAACACATAGACAATCAGCAAGTGAGGTGAAAATTGATGTGAACAACAAGCATGTAAAGCTCAAGCACAAAACAGGTGAAGTCAGAGCTAATAAGGTGAATGGACAATGCGCAAGTGATGAGGAGGCAAACACAGTTCATATAAATAACAAGGACATGGAACTCAAGCACAAAATTGCTGAAGTGAAAGCTAAGATCAAAGGAGAAACAGCAAGTGATGAATTAAAAATGGACCATGTGAACAGTGAGCATTTAAAATCAGAGGAAAGAATTGCTGGCGTGAAATGGAATGTAAAGCCATCCTCCTTGAGTGAAGTGGAAATGGATCATGTGATTGTGAAATCCAAGAACAAAACTGGTGAAAATAAATCAAAGGTGATCTTAAATAGTGTAAAATTTTGATTTTTGGTGTAATTGCCTCTCGATATATTTTGAGGGTCATGTGCATTATTTTAAATTCTATTTGTGAAGCAGCAGGTGGCTTTGAAACATATGGTGCATGAATCAACTGTTAACTCCATGTCAGATATAATGGGAAAAACGAGACCAAACTTTGTCTTTTGCATTCCATTCCACTACTGAAACTCAAATACTGCCAAACCAAACTTATTTAAGTGCTACAACTGTACTCCTCTGCCTTAACCCTAGCTCATCTCTTTCATATTATTAAAAACTGAATCATTGGATAATGCAATTCTAGAGCTCTGATTGGCTTAGCCATTATGGTATATGAGCCATTATACCATGCTCTCCATATATGGTCGGTGTACGCGTCAGTTTAAAATTGGAAGCTAGCTGAGATTTTTTTCCGCGAAGGATAGAATGGCGCCCGAAGCAAATTGTTTTAATTCATTTCTTAGAATGCTAGGAAATGCAATTTCATCGGGAAAATAACAAAGAAACAAAAAAGCCACAAGAGCTTGTTTGAAAGTTTAACGAAAACACATGAAAATACATGGAACTAAAGTACCTTGACCAGCTACGAGAGAAGACAAGTGTTGTTTCTTCATGATTGCGAAGCCACTCGCCGAGTCACTCGCCGATAGATAACTGCGGCTTGTTTATCCGACATGAGGAATATAAATCACAAGCAACCAGAATACAGGCTATGCAGCCATTCACTACAGCAATCGAGGCGTAAGTATAGCTTCTTTTTCTCGTTCAGCAAAACCAGCTGGTGGCTTCAAACAACTTCATAACAAGCGACCGAGGTAATAGTTTTTCTGCGTTGTTCTTACTTTTGTAACTGCAGCGAAAATCCAAATTCACAGTAATTTCGACGGCTGTTACTGAAAAATTATTTTTCTTCACATCAGCTGACAGGTTTTTTAGCTTTCCTGCTGTGTAACTTCCTAGAATTTCGATGAGCTTTTAAAAGAGTTCATCGCTACAATGTTTTTGATTTTTCATTCATCCAGTCCAGGCGAGTCCGTTCGCGCGTTGACAGTTTTGATAGACGTATGACATGTGAATAGCGGAAGTCCCTTGTCTTTTCCGGTTTGCTGTAACAAAATTCAACGAGATTTTGTGGGCGTTTTTAATAAAACAATTATTCCACTTGCGCTTGTTGGATATGAGATGATTACAGCCAACTCGGTGCTACACGTCTCGTCGGCTATTTACCATCTCATATCCAACACGCCCTCGTGGAATAATTGTTAATTATACCACTCTCCCTTAAAGGCAGTGGTTGATCCAGGGGAGGGGCCCGGGGGCCCTGCCCCCCCTTATTTTTAGACCAAAATGAGGCCCAAAGGGCCAAAAAATTTTTTTTGAGACCAGGACCCCCCCTTATCTCAGAGTCTGGATGACGCTCCTCCCCCCCCCATATCTGAAGGTCTGGATCCACCACTGAAAGGTCACCTCTCAAAGACTACACCTTAAGGTGGCTGAACACAGTTTTGCATGCGGTCAGCGGTAACTTGCGTGACGGAGAGTGTTTTAACTTAGACAAACAAACATGGCGGCGAAAAAGCAATGGTAAACAGAAGGCGATTTCTCAAAATCTACTCATTAAAACTTTGTGATATTTGGAGGAATTTTTACTTTTATCGTGTCTTAGATAATGAGAACTTGAAAATGGAAGTTGAACAGACGATTTTTGTGACACATTTAATAATTACAGTACAATTATATTACTGATTATCTAAAAACCCCTATGTTAAAATTTGGTCTAATAAGTTTTAAATGGTAATGATTAATTATAGTAAACTATGTGCAAGTTTATAGGAAAGTCTAATGAGTGAATTTTCTGTAAACTGAGCAAAAGTGAAATTTTAAGGTTGTATTCAATTGTTCATGTTGCCATGGAAACTACGAAAATGTCAAATTTTACCTGTCAGTCAAAATCTTTCATCAGTATATTTTTCACTTGCCAAGTTTCAGCTTGTGAGCTGCAACCCTTCTCTTGCCATGATTTGGCAAATGACATATACTCACAAACTGCCAAAACTGTGTTCAGCCACCTTAAATAGGTTGATGCTCTTTGTTTGCCTCCCTATGAGGTGGAATAAAGTGGCTGCCTCTTAACATTGTGTCTGTCTTGGAGAGAGTGGATTAAAGTAGGAGTGGCATGCAAAGCATTACATTTGAATCGGCCTTAGCTGTGACTGCAAATAATAATCAGCCAGTTTGCCCCTATTTGTCGATTGAATTATTAATTAAGTTTGTGTACTGCTAGCTGGATGTTTGCTCAGCCCTGCTAGGTTTTGAGTTTAAACACTGTAGTACAAAAAACTAAAAGTCTATGTGTTGTAGGCCAAATTGGCATTCAGGTTAACCCCTTTGCCCCCAGAAATTTTGCCGAAAAACGTGCTTTGAAGCTACATACAACAAAATGTAGTCAAGTGGTTTTCTGGTCACTGTCGTGCTATAAAGAGCTAAAACTTACCATGAAGCCATTTACATGTACAGGTCGTACACTTCGCGGCCTTCTGATCCGGATGCAAACTATTAGCTTGTGACTTCAGGCATGCACAGAAGGCAAATTTTTGGGATAGTTTTTGGGCTTAAAAGTGACACAAGAGTCTTGACTTTTACTTTTCGCTTTCTCTTCTTCCCTCTTTTTTTACTTTTCTTGCCTCATTTTTTTTCTTTTGCTGGGCATTTAGTAGACTTCATTTTGGTGGGAAAAGTTTTTAGGAAAGCTTTTAGAATCTTTAGGATTACAACTGTAGATCATGATGGGAAAGGTCGCTGGGTAGTGGAACAAGATTTTCATGGAAGTTTTCAGGTCAATGTTACAAGGTTTTTTGCCTTTTTCTCCTGACCAGTGTCCTTGACTGAATTGTGCCTATTCTGTCATGGTTGGAAAGATGTTTTTCGCTCTACACAAGTTAGTGGACAAAGTTGTCCTTGGCCATTAAAGCTGATGACATCACAAGCGGTAGAAGCGATGTGGATCTGCATGGGCAGTTATGGGTGGCTCAGGGGTAGATGGGTTAAAATGATCATGAATACTTAGGATTAGGAATCAAAGGATTAATAATATTGAGAATCAACCTAGGCTGAATCCTGTGATTAGGGATTAGGGAGCTTAAGCAAAGACATTTTTGAGGGACACTCGTCAACCGGAAGTGAGCCTTTCTCCCTTTTTATATGCCTTGACGCTAACAAATTTGTATTGCTAATTTTCTTTTCTCTTATGAAGAGGATTTATCCGAGAGTTTCAAACAAACCACTGCCCAATAATGCAAAAGGTTGACTTCCGGTTGACGTCCGTCGCTCAACAACGCTGTTGCTTAAGCTCCCTATTCTAACTTACCTTATTACATCAGTATTTATTTTTGTTTATTTAGGCACGATCAGCACCACAGCTCTGTGATGTTTCATTTGGCTGTGAACCAGTAAATGTTAAACAGAAGAAAAGACCCACAACCTCTGCCTCTGCTGCCATGGCAACCAAAATGACGTTTAGTGACAGTGTTAGACCTGACTTGGAACTTCCTCCCTTACCTTCATCATTGTCAGTTAAAAACTCATTGCTTCCAGAAATCCAACCAACCTATAGGCCACTGAGGATGTCAGGGTTTGGGGAAATATCTCCAAAGAAGAAAAAAGGTAAGCTGCTCTTACATGAGTGGATCGGCCTCTTACAAATGAAGCTAGGGTATTATTTTGTAAAGAAGATTTTTAGAGAAATATTAATCTATTATTCTCTTTAAATAATGTAATGATGTGCATGTGTTCTGCAACTGTGCAGGTTCTTCCTTATTGTTCTCAATGAAATGCCGACCTCTTGACTGCTATGCAAGGGTCACCGTCCTTCTCTTTATCCAGCCATCCTTCTTGAGGTCTTCTGGGTGACATTTTCATGTTATTTTCCTCTTAATAATACATGGGACAAGATCACTATAGGGTATAATATATACCAAAGCAGACTCTGTCTTCTGTTATGATGACAGATATTATGATACCTCTCTCCTCACCGACATGTCTCAAATTTAAATTGTAATGATATAAAAGGGGGTTCCTTAGGAAAGGTTCAAAGAAAACTTGCTTAGATCTCTTATCTACATACATACAAAATTAAAAAAAAGACTGTAAATAATTTGAATTAAATTGGAAATCGTCTCATTCCAGGGTAGCAAACATGCAATCATCTAACTTAAGGGTGTTGGCCTGAGGGGTGGGGACCATACTCACATAGGTCATGGCCCTTATGGGTGCACCCGCGTGTCCAAATTTGGACACCATTTACCGTTTCATTCCCCTGGCTTGGTGGCTCAGGGAAGATATAGAACTCGGACTGGTATGTCTGAATTTTTGGTTTTTACTGGACTGCAAGTCACACTGATTTAGCCTCCTTACCAATGGTAACATTACTGAATTTTATTGCTGCAACTGATTGTGTTAACAAAGACTTTTACACTGCAATTATTTATTGCGCAATCATTGTGGTATAGAGTGAAATTCATTTGATGTTTGTTTGATTTTAAGGTGTGGTCAGTGGAGAACTTGATGAGCATGCCTTGATGTCCAGAAAATCTCGTACACAAGTGTTTTCTGGGAGAAAGATAGCAACTTCTTCGGGAGGTAAGAACGGGTATCAATAATTGATTAGCTATACTGTAATGCATCTGTTGTTACAAGTATTAGTAAAAGTTTTCAAGTGTATAGGTGCTTGTCCCCAGTCGCTGCGAAGTTCAGGGCTAGAGAATTTTATTATTGTATGTACAGTCACACCTATTATTTTGAACTCCTCAAGGCGAAAGAACTTTGTCCAGATTGCAGGAGGTGTCTGTATTTCAGAATTTAATGGAATAGTAATTGACCATTGGTATCTTTCGACCAATAAATTAATCAACTGTGTATGATATATGTCCATGAGAAAATGTTACTTTTAAGTGTCCCCAATCATTGGTTCTTTTTAACGCTTAATAATGACTGTGGCACTTAAATAAGTTTTTATCTTGTTAAAGTTCTTATTATCTTATTTTTATTATTATATAAGATAATTATGCTAGTGTAATTGCGAGTGATTTTCTCTCTCAATATTTGAGTCCAAACCATGGACTTTGGAAGCAAAGAGGGTTTTTACTTGATAGAGAGGACCTGCTTGAGAAGGTGGACTATAGAAAGGAGAGTTATCTTCTCGAGTTCATGAATGTTGATGCTGCCAGGAATTTTGGTGGAGTAGTTTTCCATGTCCTTCTTGACAGTGCCAAGGGCTCCCATAACCACCCGGACTGTTGTTGTTTTAAGCCCCCACATTCGCTCAACCTCAATTTCCAAGTCTTTGTATTTGTTAAGCTTTTCTGTGGTTTTGACTGAGGTGTTGGTATTGAGGGGTGTAGTTATGCCAATGAGAAGGCAGGTTTTGTCCTTCTTGTTCTTCAGCACAATGTCCGGCCTATTAGCTGCAGTGGTCCTGTCAGTGTGTATGGGTATGTCCCACAGATTATTTAATATTATTATTATTATTATTGTTATTATTAAAGTTCTTATTATCCACTTATTATCTTATCTCATATAGTCCTTCTTGTTGGTGAAAAAATGAAAGTGGCCATTTGCACTGTGGATATGAGACAATTTTGCTGTATTGCACAAGGATTGACTTTAAAAAAAATTAATCTCATTTAGCATTGGAGAAATCCCTCTGATCTTTTGATTTTTTCTTTCTTGTCACTTATGTAGTCGTCACGTCTTTATTTGAATTGTGTATCAGAGTGCTGATGGAAAATGTTGATGGTAAGTTCAGCTTTTATATAATGTTATTGTTTTATTTCTCCCCTGCCCTGAATGATGTGAATGTATGTTTTCATGGCGTACATATGGCTGTGTCAAAAAATATTCCTGATGTTTGTGAAAATTTCATGTGTAGGTTGTCATTTTGTGAAATTTGACATTTATTTTCTCGCTCTCTCCTGAGAAATTTTGTTTGGTGTTATTACAGATAACTAAGTACATCTATAACCCTTCAAAAGTATGAAAAAGAATGCGCTATTATTTAAACTATTCTGGTACAAGGTTTTTGTCCACTGAAAATTAAATTATTCAATTTCCGGATGGATTCCTTCTTAAATATTTAGTGTGATAACTAACACTGTAAGTCCTTATGACTGTTACAAATCACAATACAGATTGTGTTTTGATGTCACTGATAAAAATGTCAATATATTACAATGGTGTCCGGTCAGACTAGGGTTGACTGGGGGTCAAGGTGCGGCCTAAAAGCCTTGATCAGCCTGGCCACTAGCTGGGCTTTGACCGGGGTGGCCAAGGGATAAAAAATTGGGGAACCCACCTCTAGCCTGGTCAGATAATGACCTGGCTTGACCAGGGTTTCCAGGGAATATGTGGCCAGCCCAGCCAACACTAAACTAGCTAGACGTAGTTTATTATAATTATTAATGTTTAATACATGTCTTGTGTTAATTGTTTTATAGCTCTTGGTGATACTGGAGGAGTGCCATATGATATTCTTCAGCCGGTTCTTGAGAAGTATGTATTATCACCAAAAACCTAACAATACTTTCATTAACCTACTCTGTGCAATGCCAGTTTTTTTTATACATGTACCTGTGGAAGTTTTCAATTGGAATTTTTTCCAATAGTGTGTGTTCTCATTTGCATGACATCTCAGAATAAAATGATTTCCTGCCTAAAGCTGCTGAGAGGGGCAGTGATGTCAGAGGGCTTGACAGTAGAGTACGCTGTTAACTGCAAACATTGCCCACTCACTGTCACTTACTGCTGTAAACTTTGTACAATTATGGGGATTTAGCTTGATTTTTCTGCAGGTACATGCTATACGCATAGCTTTCCGAATGAACTCCTTGGCTTTTTTCCAAATTGTTTTCACAGTTTTGTCATCTCCCTTGGTCGTTAGGACTATGTTCTTGAGGCAACTGTTATGGCTTTCTCATTTAGTAATATTGGAGAAAACACCCTTAGGCTGTGTTCTAGCAGAGCCCGGTGACCCCCTGGCGCCTAACTTTTGCTCCTGGGCGACAAGGAAATCTTACTTTCTTCATACAAATCATATGCCAGGCACCCTAGATTTTACAGTTCCAGAACAATGGGCTTCCTTCAATTTTCCTTAGAGCACAGCCTTGGCTGCATTTTATAATTATTTAAAAAAAAGTTAAAAATGTCCAGACTGGCACAGGGGTCCAAATACAATTGGGTTGTTTTGTAGCCACCTGATATTTAACCTGTTCCAGGGCCGTTCAGATCGTAGGGATGATGCAAAGAGATGTGAGCAGAAAAAAAAACTGTTATTCACCTTCTGTTCCTTTGCTTTGTTCCTCTATTTTGTTTTTGTAATTTATTTTTTCAAGTATGCATGTACTGTGCATACTTGTGTCCTGGCGTCCCTGGCTAAAAAGTTTTCCTTGTTACGTAAGGAAACTTACGTAAATTTTGCTTCCTGTGAAACTCAAAAAATACTCTGCGATCTTCTGGGGAAAATTAGCTTTTCTCTGGTGCGAAAACAAATTCTTCAGATTGATTTCCACGTATTTCCTTAAAGAATTAGTAGAGAAAACTTGATAAAAGATGAAAGCATTTTTGTTATGTACGGTAGTCATTTAGCCTGCACAGCAGGCGTTTTGAGGTACATTGATCACGGCCGCCATCTATAGGTGGTTTTCATCCAATCTCAGGAGACACAAATAACAATGGTGAAATGAACAAATGCTGGTGGACAAACAAAACGAGCTAATGAGCGATCTTTTGTTTACTGTCCACCAGCATGGCGGCGATGACGTAACGTGAAAACCACCTATAAAAGCCAAGGAAAAGACTATGGGGGAAGGGGCGGGGAGGGGAGATTTTTTTCTCCCCGCCCCTTCTCCCTCATCTATGTTAAACCCATCAACCTCTCCCTTAAAATCAGTTTTTGACTCGCCCCAACTCTCTGGTAGTAATAACGTCCAGGATGGCGGGATAGCGTTATTCCCCCCCCCCCCCCCCCCCAAAAAAAAGGATCGTGCTGCGAAATACGCCTGCTTTACAGGCTAGTAGTCATTAACATTCTATTCATTCTTATGGCCTTTTCCCTTGATTATTCATTGATAATGTTAGGAGAAAATTGATGTTGATCTCCCTTGGAACTGTGTTGATTGTTTTCCTTTATTCCAGGTGTAGTCCACAGCAGCTCTTTCAGCTGGAAGAATGCAATCCTGTAAGTTGTGTTTTTCTTCTATAGATGGTGTATAATTAATTGTTGTGACAACTGCAGCTGTTTCTAAGTTGCTTAGAACTTCAGATTAGTGTAGAGGGCTTGATGGCCAGCTGCACAAAATGTTTGCAAGATTTCTGATCTTTGGCAAATCTTAGATTGCCACTGATTGTGACCATTCTGACTCATCCCCAGTCGTCTCTTAGGGCTGATTTCCACTGTCGCGTAATTTTTCAGTGCGAACGTGCGTAAATGATTAGAGGCAATGTATGCAAGGCGACGCGTAAACGTAAAAGTTGAGCGAGGTTCAACTTTAACGTATACGCGTGACCTTCCATACAATGTCTCTGTTTTATTTGCGCGCGTAAAATGTATGTGGTTATAATTCTATGGCCATGTGCAAGCTTTAATGTTACTACTGAGGAAGATTGGGGAGTATAAAAATTACACCCCTAACGGCCTGGGGGAAATTGTCTTATACTTCCTAACTGGGGTGAAAAAAGGCGATGGAAGGGAAGGGGCTGAATATCTGGGAAAAGCCGGAATGCTCACTTAGGGTGAAGGACACTTATTCAAAAGAATACTAATTCAAGGAATTACACTGTAAGTAATTTCAAAATTAAATTTTGTTTTGTTTCAAGTTTATCCTGACCTTGAAAGAATTAATACAAGTTCTGGATTTGTTTTACAGTATTTCATTGATGATACTGAACCACTTTGGGAAAAACACTGCTGTAGGGAATTCAAAGGAACAAAACCTGATCGCGGTCAGACCTGGAGAGAGCTGTATATGGTAAATGAGTTTCAGCTTCTTTCTCCATAATCATAACTACAACAAACGTCTCTAGTCTGCTTGATTAAGAAATTAACTGCAAAAAGAAAACCGTGGACGAAGACCCTGCTGGTTTTCATCGTTGGATCTCTAGAAAAGGGATCTGTAATCAGCTAAAACATTCAGAACCAAATCACGAGAAGTCAAAATACTACTGCAAAGCTGATTAAAACAATGTGTATTGCTTTTTCATAACAATATTTCAGCTGGCCATACCAGCCTTCTTCAGGTTTACAGATGTTACGAAAAAGCAATACACATTGTAGCCTGCGTAGCAGGTGCTTGGAAGTAGTGGGGGAAAGAGAGAACGGGCGCGCGCGAGGGAGACACGCGTGCCTCCTTCTCGCGCGCCCGTTTTTTCTTGTGCCCACTACTTCCAAGCGCCTGCTACGCAGGCTATACACATTGTTATGATCCGCTTTGCAGTAGTCTTTGGGCTTGTCGTGCCTCGGTTCCAATCTGATTGTAATACACGTCATGCGTAACCATTGGACAATACCGAGCCAAAGGACAGTTGGACTTGAATATTTTTCTCCACTTATAGGAAATATCTCAAAGGTTAACCCCTCTGGTAGCGTTCAATTGTGACGTCATCAGTTTTAACGGTCATTGACAACAGAAGGAGAGATCTTTCAAACGATGAATAAGAATAATTCAATCAAGCAGGCCGAAGAAAAAAATGTTAGTTAACCGGAAAATTCCATTGAAAATCTTTTTCCACTGCCAACCTTCACTTCCTTTCATCAAATTCTACGATCCTACAAAAATTTTCCCCGAACTGTATTTTTTTCTCAAATGAAGCCTAGTTAGTTCTCAGCGAAAGAAACAAAATTTCAACCAGAGTTTTCGCGAAAACGCTCGCGTATAAATTGTTTGAAATCGATAGAACTGAGGACAATTGTATGAACTGGAAGACCAGGCCAGTTAACAGTTTTAGAAGCGAATTTATAGATTTCCCAAGAAATGAGGAAATATAAAAGTGGCAATGGCGTTAATGCGTTGCCATGGATACGTTGATCTCGAAGAAAATGACTTTTTTGGAAAGTCTAATCTATACTATATAAATGGGCACAATTCTATTTCCTGTTTCCTTCCTGTTCGAATAGAGGAAGGATGATTACTTAAAACCAAGACGAGACAGCGTAATTGCTCGTATGATTACAACCCAAACTGAAATCAAGTTGTCAATTATTCAATTACAGATTTTTTAGCCATTAACAGCAGGTTATTTGCTTTAATGCGAAATTATTTTTTTGTTTTTTTAGAAAAATGAAGAAGATAGAGAAGCCAGGCTGAAGAGAATAAATGAAAAAATTACCGCTAGTCAGAAAGCTAAAAAACCTGGTAAGTCTTAAATTATATTTCCAAATGCTTAAAATGTACTGAAAATTCTGATGCAAACACTTCTTTATAAAATTTTCTCCAAACAAGAACGAGAAACCTTCGCACAATTTGTGTGGTAGTCCTGTGGTCAAGGCTTGAGGCCTTATGAAATATACCTGATTCGATAATGGATGGAAATGCGCAGTGGAAAGCTATAATGTGGAGGTCACTTAAGCAAATCATTGCAGTGCATGAGTTCCGTTTTCTCAATTGTCAAAGCAACTTTTATTCAAATAGGTGTATAAGCGGTTTACGGTCGTTTCGCCAACGTTCCGTTCGCTAGCTTCTGAAGTCGTTTCGCTTTATACGTGTCGGGTCAGTTCCCGAACTGCTTTCGCCTGATCAGTGGCTGAAAGAACGAGGTGTATACATGAGTATCGCTTTTTTTTTGTATCACGGCTAAGAGAACGAAGTATATACATGCGCAGCGCTCGTTTCACTTCTTGGCGGAACGAAATAAGACGTTAGCGAACGGGACGTTGGCGAAACGACTCTTATGCGAAACGACCGCTCACTGTATGAGCCCAACTGATTATAAGAATACAAGAATTTATATGGCGCCATTTCCGTGAGCTCAATGGCGCTTTACAATAATCGTAATTCTAAAAATAAAAAACATTTGATTTATTAAAGAAAATATATAACAGTTGTAGAAAATAATTTCTGAAAAGTAAGATACATTCGACTTGCTAAGATTAACTAAGGAAAATAGTATATACAATAAAAAGAAAAAAGGGTAGTCAACTAACTAATAAAGCCTCTCTGAAAAGCAGTGTTTTAATCTTATTCTTAAAAACATCAAGGTTCTGGATTGGTCTTATGTCATCGGTTAGGGAGTTCCTGAGCCTGGGCGCAACAACTTGACAAGATCTGTCACCGTAAAACTTGAGATTAGCCTTAGGTGTTACAAGCAGATTTTTTGAAGAAGATTGTAATTGCCTCGTCGGAGTATAGGGCTGAAGGAGATCTGCTATATATTTTGGCGCCATGCATTCAGTGCTTTTTACGTAAGAAGTAGTATGCAAATCTTCCTTCTGTTATAAGCCGCCAACAAACAGTTCTTTGTAAAATATAAGCGTGGGGCTTATTTCGGAATGTTTTCAGTATTGCCTTATCTTTCTTTGTGTCTTTACTTTTCTTGTCAAGAACGTCAAGTCAAACTTGCTTATGTCGAAACAGTGGCCAAACCACCTCCCGCGATTCGCAGAAAGCAGGCTAAATTTGGGACTGGTAAAGGAGTTCATCATAGTGGTCCTGTGGAAACTCCCTCACGAATTATGTCACAGGCACACCATAGGAATGTGGGTTCATCGCCAGCAAAGAAACAAGCAGGTACGATTGAACTACAGGAAAATCTCGAGAGTAAGAACCTGACCCGAGTTGTATTTAGTCCCTTATACTACTACATGAGAAATTTTTTTGCAATTTGATTGGCTTAGAACAGTGTTATTTCACCTTAATTTGAAATACCTACATGTGAAAATTTCAAACCTTCTACGGGTAGTAGTATAAACAATTAATAACATGATTTGTACGTGATATTTGGCGTAAATACCACTCGTGATATTTCAAAATTGTCTCAAATTTCACTCGCCTAACGGCTCGAGAAATTACGTATAACAATTCTGAAATATCACGCGTCGTATTTATGCCAAATATCACTACAAATCATGCTATTACCTATACTAACATGACATTCAAGAAGCCTTAATAGTTTTGAAACCTCTGAATGGTCTTGCTCCTGAGTATCTAAGTTCCAAATTTGCTAGTTGATCTGATACAACTCCTTATACTTTTCGAGATTCTGTGATAAATTAACTATTCCACTGCCACGCACAAATTATCTAAGTAATAGTCACAACTAGTGGCACAGTTCCTGTACAAAGCTTCTCCATCCCTTCTTATCCACCGCTGCTGCTTTCACAACTGTAGCACAAGTGCTGTGCTAGTCGCCCAATTCGTGTACTGTTGAACTTTAATAACAAAAAGTTAATTTAAAATATACGTATAACAGATGAAGGGCCCCTTTGTGGAAACGCTGTCAGTAAACCGTTGTGTATGTACCGTATTTATTCGAATAAGCGCCCAACCTCGAATTAGCGCCCACCTCGAATAAGCGCCCATCCTAAAGGCAGAAAAAGTTAATAAGCGCCCAGCCTCGAATAAGCGCCCACCCCCTCCTCCTCCCAATCAAACTCAAATAAGCGCTCACCCCCACCCCACCCACTTGAGTGAATAAATTCTAATAAGAGACTTCCCCGAGGACGGAGTTTTCTTCAGAGTATTTTACAGAAACCTTGCATTGTTACTTCTTCGCGTTTTGTTAGTACCATTTATTGTTTTGTTGTAAAATAAACATACTTCACTTGCTGAAAGTGGTGAAAATTTAATAAGCGCCCAGCCTCGAATAAGCGCCCACTCTCAAGGTCCAAAAATTTAATAAGCGCCCAGGGCGGTTAATCGAATAAATACGGTATTTATTTATTTCTTGTTTTATCTGCAGTGCCCGCGCCAATGATGAAAAAAACAATGAAACTGTTTAAGAACCAAAGGTTAGTGAAGGATGATTTTATATTTAAGTTAGGAGGTTTGGGTTGGTGAAAGCCGTATTAAATATTACTAGGAATGTCCTAGTCATTCCTAGGATTTTCAAGAGTGATTTCGCAAGGGTAACCCTGTCATGTTCTAGGTCATCCAAAAAAAAAAATCTTTTAGAATCCAAGATTATTTCCTTGTCCTCCTACACTGTCAGTAGGAGCCCGCGCTCCTAATCTCCATGCCCCAGTTGTTGGAAAGGTCGATAACTCTAATTTAACGGATAAATCACTATCCAGAAGATAACGCTATTAGTTTCCCTAACACTTATCCACTGGATAGTGACAAGAGCCGTAATTGCTCTTGGTGGTGATTCATCCGGTGGATAGCGCATGTTTGGCACGTGCAGAAGCCAGCATTCGTTTCGACTTCCAGTAAGAATGAATGGAAAACATAAAAGGCAAATCTGATCACGCGCGTGTACCACGTCCTCCTTACACTTCCTCCATCACTTGTATTCTGGTCACGCGCGCGCGCTTTGACCTTCCGTCACAGCCAGCATTCGTTTCGACTTCGACTAAGAATGAATGGAAAGCATAAAAAGCAAATCTGATCACGCGCACTTGTACCACATCCTCCTTACACTTCCTCCATCACTTGTATTCTGATCACGCGCGCATTGACCTTCTGTCACGTGTATTTACGCAAAGCACTTGCAAAGCACCAGATTTACCAGCAAGAGCTTTTTGACCTTTGACCGGAAGCCTGAAACTCGCCCACATGCGCACTCCCTAACCTTTGGTTATCACTAGCTTTAAAACAGTGTGGTTTGTTCTTGCAGAAGCAGAGCCGCAACAAGTATCAGGCGGACATGACACTGCAAGAGATTAATTCAATGAATGCTTCTTATAGAATAAATATTATTAGAAAACAATTATTTTGTAGAGAGCTTTTTCCAAGTATTAGTTCATTTCACAAATTAAAGTAAGTAGTATAGGATTTGTTAAATTATCTCCTTTTTTGAAGGTGGGGAAAGGAGAGTAATTAGGGAGCTTTAGCACCGACGACGGCGACGGCAGCAAAAACATCACTTTAAAAATGAATTCTCGTTTTTTCAAACTTTCCCGCGTTCATTCCAATTCGCTTGAAATGTTAAAAGTGGGTGAATTTCCCTGGAGTTGATTTCTTGGGGACCGCACTAAAGTTTAGAAAGAGAAAAAAATTCGGCGTCGCTTGCTTACGTCCTCCATAAAACGTGAAATTAGGCATTTTTACGTCGTAGTCTTGCAGAGGCGGCAGAGAAATGAACAAAAAAGCGTGATGAACGTGCAAATTCGTTGTTTTGCTAATTAATCCTATTGTTTTTTTGACGTTTTCGCTGCCGTCGCCGGCGTCGTTGCTAAAGCTCCCTAATATTTCCTCAGCGTGACCGAGATCACTGTTTAGGGTTGCTTAAAAGAGGTTCACTTCCTTGATAAATCTCGTAGTTTATTATTGTTGCAGGTAGCATTAGAGACATTACGTTAGGCTCTGGCTAAATAGAGACAACTTGTTGTGGGTTGACGGGTCACTCGCCTACCCGAGCTACCTTGGGCGAGCTAACTTTTTCTACATTTTCTTCTTGGCGAACCGTTAACGCTACAAACAAAACCTTAGCTGGTCTAGAAGGTTGACTCGCCTTTTTCGATAGTAGGGTCAGCCTTCTAGCCAGGCCTGCCTCGCCCGCCCAGTCGCAACAACTTGGTCAAGGGTAGGCTGAATAGCCTGTGTTGCAGCCGGCCCAAGCGTCGTCTAGACCATTTATACAGAAGCTTTAGGGTGTTTGCGACGTAGTCTAAAATGTCAGCCGTCTCTACTCCCCACCCCCCGCCCCCAACGGGCTGAGGCGGGGGGATTGGTGGGGCGAAGAGACGGCTGGCATTTCAGACTAGGTCAAGAACAAGGCAAAGCAATCAGAGCATGCGCGAGCGATGTGTTCAGCCCTCATACAAGTGATCGCTAAAGTTGACTCGGCTGGGAGAGTGGCCCTCTTCCCCGGTGCAACTTTCGCGTTAGCTTCAATACCGTTAAGTTCCGTTTATTGTGATCAGTGATATGGCGGAACTCGAAAACTACATACGTTGGGCAAAGCATCCTGGTGTTACTAAATTATCATCCAGGAAATTACAGACAACCGGAAATGCCTACCATTCTAGCTTACAATCATACAGCAACAACCGAGAATGGAGCTACTTTCAATTTTCTTCTGTGAATACCACATAATTACTTTGTGCTTTAAATGAGATCTCCAGAGTTGTTACAGACTGCGAGCAGTTTCTCTTTCTCTTCTGATTTAGTGAGGGGAGTGGGAGTGCACGCGCGCGAGCGTCCAGTGGCCTCTCCCGCCTCGCGCCTTCAGTCACGCGCGTGGCAAAAAGGAGAAACTGCTCTTAGTATAGGGTGTTTGTATTATTTGGACTAAGTGGGTGGTAACTTATAGTACAGTAAAAAGCCGCGTGTAAGAACCAATAAGTCTGACGAGAAAGCTTGTATTTTGGGGTAGTTACCGGCGATTTTATTAGGCTAGGTAGGTTCTTAAATTTCTGGGGAGGAGACAGTCGATAACTACCAGAACTATAAACTAAAAGTATTATCTTGTAATATAATACTTCTCGGTTAAACTATTATATCTACCATGGTGTAACTGTCACCCACATAAACCTTCTTGATTCTTCTTGGCTTAACGAATTGTTATATTTTTAGTCATTCAAGTGACAAATATCTGCGAGCAGGTTCTTAAACCACTAGGTTCTTACACGCTGGTCTTATCTGTAATTTATTCGGTAATTAAAGTGTGTTGAACACATTGCAGTAATTATTAAATAGTTTACCCACAGTAGTATTGTATTGAAAACCATATTTGTCGAACAAGTCTTTTAAAGTATTAAACAGTTTACACACAGTGTATTGTTGAATTCGCAACCATCTATTTCCAACAATTCTTTAAAATTTCATAATAAAAAACTCCCCCCTCCGCCCCTTCCGAAAACGCGAAAAAACAAACAAATTTACCGCAAAGGATTGATTTCACTGGCCAAAATGGGTGAACTTACTTTCGGGACTTATTGAGAATTTTTTCTATTGTTTCCCCATTTGTAGACGTCCCTGTCAGGCAACTATAGTGGTGCGGTTACACGGGACACTTTTAGCGTGGTAAATGACCCTTTTACCGCGGGGAATTGGCGTGGTGCGTGTGACCCGACTTTCCCGAGATAAGTTTATAGTAACATAACAGGAAATACCCACCAAATGGCTGCGATTTACTGTGCACTGCAAATATGATATTATTTCCATTCTGCTTGCATATGGTCTTACCTTACCTGATTTGCTATCCATTTGGTTTAATCATTTTCCTTATTATCTCACCCTACATAATATACAGTCACTGTGATACCCTTTATTTTCAGTTTTCCAAACAGGCGCAGATCCACACTGGTTTCCACCGTTTTATGGAAATCGGTCAAGACTTTTCACAAGTTATACTACTACGTCAGAAATTTCTGCAATTTGATTGGTTTAGAGCAGTGGTATTTCAGCTTAATTTGAAATACCTACATGTGAAAATTACAAACCTTTTGTGGCTAGTAGTATAAACAAATAATAGCATGATTTGTACGTGATATTTGGCATAAATACCACTTGTGATATTTCGAAATTGTCTCAAATTTCACTCGCCTAACGGCTCGTGAAATTACGTATAATTCGAAATATCACTCGTGGTATTTATGCCAAATATCACTACAAATCATTCTATTACCTATACAAATATATTTTTAATAATAAAAAACACTTTCCAAGTTGAAACCAGGGCAATATCCTGCCTGAATGACTCGAAACCCAGGAAAGGGGACTTCAAGAGTTAAAAACCAAGACATTTCTTGGGAAAGCCTGCCCCACGGACCCCGCTAGATAGTGCTTGCGCCTTCGGCCCTCCCTTTAGGAAGTCGGTTAGTATTTATCCCAGATCCGCGCCTGCCAAACAGATCAAAATTTTATAATTCTTTGCTGGGGTAGTAAGAAAAATTGTTTCTACTTTGTTGTGAAAGGGAGCTCTTTATTTGCAATGTGATGCTAGTTTAGTATCATTTCATGGTAACAGTGAAATTCTCAGTCTCTGTTACGAAAACAAAAGTATGAATGTGAAGGAAAGAGGACAAGCTTTTAGTTATAATTTTCACCATGAAATGACTTCTGAAATACTATGAGGACCTCAAAGGAAGCAACATAAGGTGGCGTTGAAGGCTTGATAATTTCTCCAGATTTCCAGAAAAATATTCTGCTTAGTTCCAGAAGATGGTCCGTTTCACAAACATTTTAGACAATTTCAGCTTCATTATTGCGGGTTTCCGACGGAGACGCTGTATTTCACTATCTGTCTGTTCCCGCAGTTTGAATATGGTGCTTTCATAATTGCCGAAACGACTGCGACTAAGAGTGAGGATCATTTGCGTTACTTTACGAAACGTTTCACTTCTTATGCTTAAAGACCCAAGCCATTTAGATTTCATGTGTTTCTATCGTTTTTCAACTGTTTTGCATTCTTTTGATATCCGTCACTGGAGATGCGCAGGCTGTCATTATCTCATCACGTTTGCAACGATCCATCACAAGAAATCCTTGTTTCATGAAAGTGGAAATGTTATTTTCTAGAGAATAATGCCAATTTCAGAGGCAATATACATTGATAGCCATCTTCCTTGAGCTTTTTTATTGTTTTGATACGGATTTTCTCTGTCAACAGCATCAAAACAATTTTCCCCGACGAAAACCTAAACTTCACAGAGGAATTGCTCGTGACGTCACGATGGCCAAGCTCTGCACGTGACGTCACAGCGGCCATGTTAGTGGTCAAGAACAAAAGCATTTCTCTCCTCTGGGAACTAAACTATGTAAATTCTTCGGCTGGTTTGCAGGTGACGTCACGGTGGCCATGTTGGTGGTCAAGATAAGCGGAAACACGCAAATACATGCGCGGAAGCGGACGTTACGCTGACGTATTTCCGGTTAAAGAGAGGTCACTGATTGTGCTAGTGATGTAATTTCGCATTAGCTGGTCAAGTACTAACTATATGCCTTGCAATCTATCCAAGTGTAAAGAACTAGTTTTGAAGAAGAAAGGACAAGCAAATCCTAGTCCTATTGCCGGTAATATAGAGCAGGCCGAATTTCTAGTGCTACTTGGAGTGACTTTCCAGGCCAATGGTAGATTTACAGAACACATTAAACGAAAACTGTGTTAAGGAGCTTAAGGAAGGAAGGATATAACCAAGTGGAAATTGGTCATTTGTTTCAGTCTTTAGTTTTACCGGTGTATGAACGGCTCCGTGTCTGAACTTAATACTGTACAGCAGTTCCTTCGTAGATGTCATAAACGCCGTTTTATATCCTATGCTATAGATATATATGATTTGCTTGAAAAAACATACAGGTCAATCTCCAAGAGGATTAGTTGCCTACCTACTCATCCGCTGTATAATTTGTTGCCCAAAGTTAAAGAATCTTTAAAACGTCTGAGAACTCAAACAAGCCTACTTCCTTGTGTTAACACGAAACGTTTTAAAGCTAGTTTTATTAATAGACTGTAAATATACTTTTACTTTTTAACTTTTTAACTAATAATTTTGAACATGTAAATATAGGTATGTATTTTTACTTGTATATTCAATAAAGACTTTAAGACTTTAAGAAGAACAAAATCATTTCTTTCCTCTGGGATTCATGTAAATTCTTCGAGAATTGACCCCCCAACATGGTGGCCTTGTCACGTGGTTGCAAACCAAGAAATAGGAACGATTGACAACCCAGGCCAAACCCCTCTACCCTGAGTTACATATATGATGCACGGAGGTGTAACGAGAAGAAGCGGGAAACTAGTATTTATTACTTCAATCAGGGTCCAACGAGAAAAATTAAGGTACAAGTAAATGAAAATAACACTTAGTCTGCACACTCTGCACGGTCTGTTCACGGTCTGCAGTCTGCAGTCTGTGTGGTCTGTGTTCTTTAACCGGAAATACGTCAGCGTAACGTCCGCTTCCGCGCATGTATTTGCTTGTTTCCGCGTTTTTACTGCCTTTTCCCTTGCAGTGGTTCCTGAACGCACAAGCAGGGTTTTTTAATCTTCCTGTTAAACAGTTGATAGATTCCCAAAGAAAAGCATTCATTGTTTATCCGTCTTTTCTTTCGGGGATGACAGGGATGAAGTTACAAAATTTGGAGTAACTGAAGTACTTGAAATTTGTCCGTCGATCATCCAGGATCAACACAGCTGAGCAACATGGCCGCAGAGGGGCTGTCTTCTCGGTTATTGAACGATGATCCAGTAGAAAGAGTGCATGACGCTTTTGAGTCTGGAGATGCTGTTTTCCTTGGCGAGATCCTTCAACAAATGAACGCGAGCGAAATAAACTCCGCATTAGAAACAGAAACAGTTCATGTTTTAAAACCCAGTCGTTTTAAAGGTGACTCAATCAAATCCATACCATTAATAGTTGCTGTTATAAATGGAGATCTTGATTTTGTGAAAGTTCTTCTAAAGCACAAACCAAACGTAGAAAGCAGATGCAAAGATGGCTTTTTCGAAGGATTCACTCCCCTGGGTATTTCTGCAGCACTCGGACATGCTGATGTTGTGAGTTGTTTGCTTGAAAATGGAGCTGCAGTTAACGCATGCGCCTTGATGTCAGCAAGCGAAAATGGACATGTTAAAGTAGCAACTTCTCTTGTTGAACATGGTGCCAACCTTGATTTTCAAGATAAGGATGGTTGCACCCCTCTGATGAGAGCAAGTGAAAATAATCATGTTGAAATGGTTGCCTTTCTTGTTGAGCATGGGGCAAACATAGACCTTCAGGACAAAGATGGCCACACTCCACTTATGAAAGTATGCAAGACTGGTCATGCTGATATAGTAGCCTATCTTATTGAACATGGAGCTACAAAAGATTTTCAAGACAGGTGTGGTTGTACCCCCTTAATGATAGCAAGCAACTACAGTCATGTGGGAATAGTAAACCTTCTTGTTGAACAGGGGGCTAACTTGGATGTTCAAGACAACAATGGCAATACTGCCCTCCATTATGCTATTCTTGGCAACTCTTCTGTTGCTGTTGACTCACTTTTGTCTTTTGGAGCGTGCCAACTGTACAACAGTAACCGTTTAACACCTCTCCTTCTTGCTAGTTATCACTGTAAGATTTCATTGGTGGAGGATTTAATCAAGCGACCAGAATGTTCAAGAGAGCAAAGAATTGATGCCCTAGAGCTCCTGGGTGCCTCCCTGTTTCTTATCGGAACAGTGCCTGAAGACAGGGCCGCTTTTCAATACATAAAGCGTGGAATGGAAGAGCGATTTCAAAACACCTCAGATCCCATATTGAAACAACCTTTGCAACCTGTTAAAGCATATCAAAATAAAATAGAATGCCAAACTCTTGAGGAACTTGCTCAAATAGAAAGTGACATTGATGCCCTTATGTTAGAATGCTTTATTATTGAGGAGAGGATTCTTGGGGAGAACAACCTGGAAGTTCTTGAAACAATTCGGAGTTTAACTATAAATGACCTTCAATTTGGCGATGAAAGCTGGTATGACCTTTGTGTAGGACTGTGCACCCATGCAATGAAAATAGCACAGTGTTGTAATCAACAAGTCAGCATTGACATAGAATGTGTATCATATTTTTTTGGCACTGTGTTTAAAGAAAGCAAAAATCTACCTAGTCAAGCAGATGTACTTGAAGTGCTTGATCAAGCAATAACAGCATTTGTAAAAGAAAAAGAAAAGAGAACAGTGGAAAGTGGAAGAGAACTGACAAAATTATTTGGAAATATACTTCAACTTTTGCAGTTTCTTACCAAAGATGAACTTTGTGGAAACAACAAGAATGCTAGTGTGTCATGTATACTACAGAAGCTATGTGCATTGAACCCATGTGACGAGGAAGGAAATACATTGTTACACATCGCTGCGGCTAGTAGAGATCCATTTACGGGGCACGGGTGGTTTAGCGTGCCCAATCCATTGCTTGGATTTCCTTGTATTAAGACAGTGCAACTACTTTTAGATGCAGGTTTTAATGTTAATGCATTAAACAACAATGGAGATACACCACTTCACAGGGCAGCAATGTTTAATCCCTATCTCTGGACAGAATATCATCGTATAACCAAGATGCTGGAGGTTCTTTTACTTGGAGGCGCTCATCTTGATTATACCAACAAGGATGGTTTGACAGCCATGGACAAGAGCACAAATGTTAGAGCAAGAAACTTTCTTTCCTACGAATATAACAGGACAGTGTGTGAGTTAAAATGTGTTAGTGCCAGGGCAGTGAAAAAATATGGCCTTCCTTATTTTGGTGAAGTTCCAAAAAGCCTGGAAAAATACATCAGTATGCATTGAGACTAACAGAAATAATCTTCGTTTCCAGAAATTATTTCTATTTTCACCACAGCAGGTTTAGTTAAGTGGGTAGAGCGCTGGATTGCAATATGGGAGGTTGCAGGTGCAATGCCTGGCTCCAGACCAATACTCAGGGTCTTAAAATAAAAGAGCAATGAAGGTGTTGCCATTTCCCTTTAAACAGCTACAGTATAAGACCATCACATATGGCTCAGATGACTTTGTATAAAGATAGCGGTCTTGTGTCCAGTAGGAGATACATTGACACTAAAAATAATATAGAGTCTTTTTTTCTAGATACATTATTGTTGTGTGAAGTATATGAAATAATTCATTTTGAACTGCGGTTGTAGATGATCATTCTTCACTCTCATCTACAACCGCAGTTCAAAATGAATTATTTCATATACTTCACATCATTTCACTCCTCAAGGGAGATATGAACTCAATAAATTGACCTCGCTCCCAATGTGTGGCTTCGTAGCTCAGTTGGTAGAGCAACGCACCGGCAACGTGGAGGTCACAGGTTCGAATCCCGTTGAAGCCCTGATTTTTTTCAGGCTTCTTCTTTCCAATTGCTTAAATTGGAAAATTTACCGCGATGATCATTCTTCACTCTCATCTACAACCGCAGTTCAAAATGAATTATTTCATATACTTCACAGCGTGACTGAGATCACTGTTTAGGGTTGCTTAAAAGAGGTTGACTTCCTTGATAAATCTCGTAGTTTATTATTGTTGCAGGTAGCATTAGAGACATTACGTTAGGCTCTGGCTAAATAGAGACAACTTGTTGTGGGTTGACGGGTCACTCGCCAACTCGAGCTACCTTGGGTGAGCTAACTTTTTCTACATTTTCTTCTTGGCGAACTGTTAACACTACAAACAAAACCTTAGCTGGTCTAGAAGGTTGACTCGCCTTTTTCGATAGTAGGGTCAGCCTTCTAGCCAGGCCAGCCTCGCCCGCCCAGCCGCAACAACTTGGTCAAGGGTAGTCTGAATAGCCTGTGTTGCAGCCGGCCCAAGCGTCGTCTAGACCATTTATACAGAAGCTTTAGGGTGTTTGCGACGCAGTCTAAAATGTCAGCCGTCTCTACTCCCCACCCCCCGCCCCCAACGGGCTGAGGCGGGGGGATTGGTGGGGCGAAGAGACGGCTGGCATTTCAGACTAGGTCAAGAACAAGGCAAAGCAATCAGAGCATGCGCAAGCGATGTGTTCAGCCCTCATACAAATGATCGCTAAAGTTGACTCGGCTGGGAGAGTGGCCCTCTTCCCCGGTGCAACTTTCGCGTTAGCTTCAATACCGTTAAGTTCCGTTTATTGTGATCAGTGATATGGCGGAACTCGAAAACTACATACGTTGGGCAAAGCATCCTGGTGTTACTAAATTATCATCCAGGAAATTACAGACAAACCGGAAATGCCTACCATTCTAGCTTACAATCATACAGCAGCAACCGAGAATGGAGCTACTTTCATTTTCTTCTGTGAATACCACATAAATACTTTGTGCTTTAAATGAGATCTCCAGAGTTGTTACAGACTGCGAGCAGTTTCTCTTTCTCTTCTGATTTAGTGAGGGGAGTGCACTCGCGCGAGCGTCCAGTGGCCTCTCCCGCCTCGCGCCAACAGTGACGCGCGTGGCAAAAAGGAGAAACTGCTCTTAGTATAGGGTGTTTGTATTATTTGGACTAAGTGGGTGGTAACTTATAGTACAGTAAAAAGCCGCGTGTAAGAACCAATAAGTCTGACGAGAAAGCTTGTATTTTGGGGTAGTTACAGGCGATGTTATTAGGCTAGGTAGGTTCTTAAATTTCTGGGGAGGAGACATAGTCGATAACTATCAGAACTATAAATTAAAAGTATTATCTTGTAATATAATACTTCTCGGTTAAACTATTATATCTACCATGGTGTAACTGTCACCCACATAAACCTTCTTGATTCTTCTTGGCTTAACAAATTGTTATATTTTTAGTCATTCAAGTGGCAAATATCCGCGAGCAGGTTCTTAAACCACTAGGTTCTTACACGCTGGTCTTATCTGTAATTTATTCGGTAATTAAAGTGTGTTGAACACATTGCAGTAATTATTAAATAGTTTACCCACAGTAGTATTGTATTGAAAACCATATTTGTCGAACAATTCTTTTAAAGTATTAAACAGTTTACACACAGTGTATTGTTGAATTCACAACCATCTATTTCCAACAATTCTTTAAAATTTCATAATAAAAAACTCCCCCCTCCGCCCCTTCCGAAAACGCGAAAAAACAAACAAATTTACCGCAAAGGATTGATTTCACTGGCCAAAATGGGTGAACTTACTTTCGGAACTTATTGAAAATTTTTTCTATTGTTTCCCCATTTGTAGACGTCCCTGTCAGGCAACTATAGTGGTGCGGTTACACGGGACACTTTTAGCGTGGTAAATGACCCTTTTACCGCGGGAAATTGGCGTGGTGCGTGTGACGCGACTTTCCCGAGATAAGTTTATAGTAACATAACAGGAAAAAAATACCCAGCAAATGGCTGCGATTTACTGTGCACTGCAAATATGATATTATTTCCATTCTGCATGCATACGTTCTTACCTTACCTGATTTGCTATCCATTTGGTTTAATCATTTTCCTTATTATCTCACCCTACATAATATACAGTCAGTTTTTTCATCAAACTTGTCATTATCTCATCACGTTTGCAACGATCCATCACAAGAAATCCTTGTTTCATGAAAGTGGAAATGTTATTTTCTAGAGAATAATGCCAATTTCAGAGGCAATATACATTGATAGCCATCTTCCTTGAGCTTTTTTATTGTTTTGATACGGATTTTCTCTGTCAACAGCATCAAAACAATTTTCACCGACGCAAACCTAAACTTCACGGAGGAATTGCTCGTGACGTCACAATGGCCAAGCTCTGCACGTGACGTCACAGCGACCATGTTAGTGGTCAAGAACAAAAGCATTTCTCTCCTCAGGGAACCAAGCTATGTAAATTCTTCGGCTGGTTTGCAGGTGACGTCACGGTGGCCATGTTGGTGGTCAAGATAAGCGGAAACACGCAAATACATGCGCGGAAGCGGACGTTACGCTGACGTATTTCCGGTTAAAGAGAGGTCACTGATTGTGCTAGTGATGTAATTTCGCAATACCTTAGATGGTCAAGTACTAACTATATGCCTTGCAATCTATCCAAGTGTAAAGAACTAGTTTTGAAGAGAAAAAGGACAAGCAAATCCTAGTCCTATTGCCGGTAATATAGAGCAGGTCGAATTTCTAGTGCTACTCGGAGTGACTTTCCAGGCCGATGGCAGATTTACAAGAACACATTAACCCTTCGAAGCGAATAAGCGCCTCTATGTGTTAAGGAGGTTAAGGAAGGAAGGGTATAACCAAGTGGAAATTAATCATTTGTTTCAGTCTTTAGTTTTACCTAAAATTTCGTATGGTTTACCGGTGTATGCAGCCTCCGTGCCTGAACTTAATACTGTGCAGCAGTTCCTTCGTAGATGTCATAAACGCCGTTTTATATCCTATGCTATAGATATATATGATTTGCTTGAAAAAACAGACAGGTCAATCTCCAAGAGGATTAGTTGCCTACCTACTCATCCGCTTTATAATTTGTTGCCCAAAGTTAAAGAATCTTTAAAACGTCTGAGAACTCAAACAAGCCTACTTCCTTGTGTTTACTCGGAACGTTTTAAAGCTAGTTTTATTAATAGACTGTAAATATACTTTTACTTTTTAAATTTCTAACTAATAATTTTAAACATGTAAATAAAGGTATGTATTTTTACTTGTATATTCAATAAAGACTTTAAGACTTTAAGAAGAACAAAATCATTTCTCTCCTCTGGGATTCATGTAAATTCTTCGAGAATTGACCCCCCAACATGGTGGCCTTGTCACGTAGTTGCAGACCAAGAAAGAGGAACGATTGACGACCCAGGCCAAACCCCTCTGTCCTGAGTTACATATATGATGCACGGAGCTGTAACAAGAAGAAGCGGGAAACTTGTATTTACTACTTCAATCAATGTCCAACGAGAAAAATTAAGGTACAAGTAAATGAAAATAACACTTAGTCTGCACACTCTGCACAGTCTGTTCACGGTCTGCAGTCTTGCAGTCTGCGTGGGCTGTGTTCTTTAACCGGAAATACGTCAGCGTAACGTCCGCTTCCGCGCATGTATTTGCGTGTTTCCGCTTTTTTACTGCTTTTTCCCTTGTAGTGGTTCCTGAACGGACAAGCAGGGTTTTTTAATCTGCCTGTTAAACGGTTGATAGATTCCTAAAGAAATGCATTCATTGTTTATCCGTCTTTTCTTTCGGGGATTACAGGGATGAAGTTACAAAATTTGGGGTAGCTGAAGTGCTTGAAATTTGTCCGTCCATCATCCAGGATCAAGACAGCCGATAAACATGGCCGCAAAGGGGCTGTCTTCTCCGTTATTGAACGATGATCCAGTAGAAAGAGTGCATGACGCTTTTGAGTCTGGAGATGCTGTTTTCCTTGGCGAGATCCTTCAACAAATGAACGCGAGCGAAATAAATTCCGCGTTAGAAACAGAAACAGTTCATGTTTTAAAACCCAGTCGTTTTAAAGGTGACTCAATCAAATCCATACCATTAATAGTTGCTGTTATAAATGGAGATCTTGATTGTGTGAAAGTTCTTCTAAAGCACAAACCAAACGTGGAAAGCAGATGCAAAGATGGCTTTTTCGAAGGATTCACTCCCCTGGGTATTTCTGCAGCACTCGGACATGCTGATGTTGTGAGTTGTTTGCTTGAAAATGGAGCTGCAGTTAACGCATGCGCCTTGATGTCAGCAAGCGAAAACGGACATGTTAAAGTAGCAACATCTCTTGTTGAACATGGTGCCAACCTTGATTTTCAAGATAAGGATGGTTGCACCCCTCTGATGAGAGCAAGTGAAAATAATCATGTTGAAATGGTTGCCTTTCTTGTTGAGCATGGGGCAAACATAGACCTTCAGGACAAAGATGGCCACACTCCACTTATGAAAGTATGCAAGACTGGTCATGCTGATATAGTAGCCTATCTTATTGAACATGGAGCTACAAAAGATTTTCAAGACAGGTGTGGTTGTACCCCCTTAATGATAGCAAGCAACTACAGTCATATGGAAAAAGTAAACTTTCTTGTTGAACAGGGGGCTAACTTGGATGTTCAAGACAACAATGGCAATACTGCCCTCCATTATGCTATTCTTGGCAACTCTTCTGTTGCTGTTGACTCACTTTTGTCTTTTGGAGCATGCCAACTGTACAACAGTAACCGTTTAACACCTCTCCTTCTTGCTAGTAATCACTGTAAGATTTCATTGGTGGAGGATTTAATCAAGCGACCAGAATGTTCAAGAGAGCAAAGAATTGATGCCCTAGAGCTCCTGGGTGCCTCCCTGTATCTTACCGGAACAGCGCCTGAAGAAAGGGCAGCTTTTCAATACATAAAACGTGGAATGGAAGAGCGATTTCAAAACACCTCAGATCCCATATTGAAACAACCTTTACAACCTGTTAAAGCATATCAAAATAAAATGGAGAGCCAAACCCTTGAGGAACTTGCTCAAATAGAAAGAGACATTTATGCCCTTGCGTTAGAATGCTTCATCATTAAGGAGAGGATTCTTGGAGAGAACAACGTGGAACTTCTTGAAACAATTCGGAGTTTTATAACTCTATCGGACCTTCAATTTTGCGATGAAAGTTGTTATGACCTTTATGTAGGACTGTGCACGCGTGCAATGAAAATAGCACAGTGTTGTAATCAACCAGTCAGCATTGATATAGAAGGTTTATCATATTTTTTTTGTGCTGTGTTTGAAGAAAGCAGAAATCTACCTAGTCAAACAGATGTACTTGAAGTGCTTGATCAAGTAATAACAGCATTTGTAAAAGAAAAGACAACAGTGGAAAGTGGAAAAGAACTGACAAAATTATTTGGAAATATACTTCAACTTTTGCAGTTTTTTACCAAAGATGAACTTTGTGGAAACAACAAGAATGCTAGTGTGTCATGTATACTACAGAAGCTATGTGCATTGAACCCACGTGACGAGGAAGGAAATACGTTGTTACACATTGCTGCCGCTAGTAGAGATCCAGCTAAGGGGCACAGGGGGAGGGGCGAGCCCACTTCATTGCTTGGATTTCCTTGTATTAAGACAGTGCAACTACTTTTAGATGCAGGTTTTAATGTAAATGCATTAAACAACAATGGAGATACACCACTTCACAGGGCAGCCATGTTTAATCCCTTTCACTGGACACAATACCATCGTATAACCAAGATGCTGAAGGTTCTTTTACTTGGAGGCGCTCATCTTGATTATACCAACAAGGATGGTTTGACAGCCGTGGACAAGAGCACAAATGTTCCAGCAAAAAACTTTCTTTCCTATCGATATAACAAGACACTGTGTTTAAAATGTGTAAGTGCCAGGGCGGTGAAAAGATATGGCCTTCCTTATATTGGTGAGGTTCCAAAAAGCCTGGAAAAATATATCAGTATGCATTGAGACTAACAGAAATAATCTTTGTTTCCAGAGATTATTTCTATTTTCACCGCAGCAGGTTTAGTTTAGTGGGAGAGCAATAGATTGCAATATGGGAGGTTGCAAGTGCAATGCCCGGCTCCAGACCAATACTCAGGGTCTTAAAAATAAAAGAGCTATGAAGGTGTTGCCATTGCCCTGCAAACAGCTATAAGACCATCACATGGCTCAGATGACTTTGTATAAAGATGGCGGTCCTGTCTCCAGTAGGAGATACATTGACACTAAAAATAATATAGTGTCTTTTCTTTCTAGATATGTCTTTACTGTTGTAAATATGCTAATTTTGATTCTGCAATTTTAGTTTTAAATTAGACCTACTCATTGCTATACTGCTGACTGAAGTCCAATTTGGTCTGTCAACATTACTGAGTAACACTTTCACTCCCAGAATGAAAATGAGTCTTTTGAGGTGGTTCTAACCTTTAGAGTCTGTGCTATTATTTTGTTTCTTTAATGTTTTATAGAATAAAATTAAGAAACCATGTTACATGTTGACTTTGGCCAGTTAAGAATGCCAGGTAACAGGAGTTGTGTATTATCAGGTTTAAAAACCTGCGGTGAAGCCAAGAGTTTTTAAACCTGATAATACATGAGTGCAAGTTTTTTGAACGGCTTCAAAATGTCTGAAACAGATTAACTCATTCTTGCACTAAAAAGTAGTTTTGGGGTTATTTTGGTTTAAAAAACTGGCCGTAAAGTTTAGCCATGTTTTTACCAGATATAAAGACAATCACTTAACAAAAGAAATTATTTCTTTTGTTTTTTCTTTATGAATTATTACAGAGTTTTTGAACTTTATTTAGGCCAGTATGATTACACCAAATTGGACAATGAAGTTACCAATAGATTGATCATAACTAAAACAAAACGTTGTTTTATTGTACAGCTGATTGTACTTCAATGTTCTCATAGATCTTTACATTAACTGTAAATAAAAGTATTTGACATACTGCATTCACTTCATAAGTAAAAAGACATCATTGATAGTATGCAGATCTTAATCCCAGAGACCACGTTTCACTTTACACCAGTGGATGGGCACCATCCTCACATGTGCATTGGGATTTAAGGGGAAAAAAGGGTTTCTCCTGGGAACGAGGTTGGCAGTCTGCTATCCAGTTTCTTTGGTCAGCAGATGGTCGACTTAAGAGTACAGGCTGTTTAAGACTCCAGATTTTAGACCATATCTTCCAGGCTCCAGATTAAAGTATGAGATCTCCCGGATAATCGCAATCGAAGTAGTTTTCTATTTCTTCAGTAGACTTGACTTTCTGACTTTAAAATTTCAAATACTGGTACCCTGTGAACAGGGAGCCTGTTCACAGGCTAAATTTAGAATATATTGCATTGTTTGAACTATTTTGAAGTTAACATTGAGCGTTTCCTCATAACCTCTGGCATGCCATTGTAATAATCATGAACCAGTCATCTCAAATATACATTGCCTTCAACATCCTTTTTGCACGTTTTAGTCCGGTGGCTTAGTGCAAAATTTTGGCGAGATCTATACAGAGCGGACAAAAGCACCAAACTTTGCATGGTTGTACCTTAGGGTATGTTAGTCAATATTAGGATCGGTGCCCACAGCTGCCTCTTCAGGATTTGCAGCAACAGCTCGCTGAAGTTCTTCAACAACCTTCCATGATGGGTGCCCTGTGCTGAAAATTGCAATCACTTGTTTTTTGTCATTTTTTGATGAAAATCACATAAAAAGGGAAGTAGATGGAAAAAGAAACTGTATTAATGCTATTGTTATTGAAACCAATAACTAAAACAAGTCAACTTAATGATATAGCAATTATGATGTACCATGGTGGGTGTCCTGTGCTAAAAAATATCGATTCCTTTTTTTTTTGCCATTATTTTGATGAAAATCACATGAAGGACATGAAAAAAAAAAAGGAGTTGTATCATTATTGAAACCAATGAAAAAAACATGCCAGCTAAATGGAAAATCTAAGGAAGATGTTTTCAGACGCGTACTCAGTCCCAAATAGCCTGTCAAGGTGGCGGCTGTGTCTTTTCATGGACTGTAAGCATCTACTAGAATAAATTGCCGTTTTTAAGGGGAAATTGTGTACAATTTGAATCACGACAGGTTAAAGTGAATTTTAAGTTCTTCTTGGTGATAAATTTGGCATCGAAAGCCACATTTTCTCTTCACATTTTGTGCCGATTATGAATGACTACAGTCGACTCTCTCTTAACGGTCACCTCTATAAGACGGACACCTCTGTAAAACGGACACCTTGAGTTGGTCCCTGCCTTTGCTTATTCCCTTTATTTGACTCTTCATAAGACGGACATCTCTCTAAGACGGACACTTAGCGCCGGTCCCAAAGCAGAGGCGGATCTAGGGGGAGGGTGCAGTGGGTGCGCACCCCCCCCTGAGATGACCTGCTGTTTTCTAATACAACTGGTATTCTGCCAAAAAAAAAAACTATGTGGTGTATTGGAGTTGAAGTAGAGCAAGAGACGAGTGCACCCCCTCCTAAAAAAAATCCTGGATCCGCCCCTGCAAAGGTGTCCGTCTTGGAGAGAGTTGACTGTATACTGAGTTTACTTTCGTACTGGTTAAAGTTAATAATAGTAAAAATAGCTTCTTTCTATAGCGCTCATATCCTGAGCACATGGTGCTTTACAATGTTAAAGAGCACAAAAAATTATATCTCGAGCATGAAATAACATATATTAAAATCTATTAGCAATTCACAAAGAACAAGAGAAGGAAACAAGAATTCATCTGTTTTAAAATTATTTTGCCTTTAAAGTTTATATATCTGATAATGATAATAAGTCATACAAAAAAAACTAAATATACATTACATTAGTATAGGTATATGATCTGCAGATATTAAAGACGTTTTACAAAAGTATTGACTTACTCTTATAAAAGTATTGACTTACCCAGATATGTTCTCAGTCCTTTCTTTCAACTGGCTAAAGATGGTGACTTGTGAAAATCTAGCTAAAGGTAGTGAGTTCCACAGTTTAGGGGGGCACACTGAAAAAGTCTTTTCCCCGTGAGTTTTCGAGGTTGTTCTAAGAGCTGCTGAGATGCGGACCACAAGTTCCTGGAAGGCCTTCAATAACTGTCCGCTAGATAGCTAGGTGGAAGGTTATTTAGTGATTTGAAAACTGACAAAATAAGTTTAAAAACAACATGGTAACTAACAGGAAGCCAGTGAAGGTCAAATAAATGATGTGTTCGCAAAATTTACGAGTCCGAGTAACGATCCTGGGGGCAGTGTTCTGAACATATTATTAAAAGTTCCTTCAAGTGCATTTTTTTACAACCATAGAGCAAGGAATTGCAATTAATAGTCTGTTTTAGATGTAATAAAAGCATGCACTGCAATTTCGCTAGACTCCTGTGTGAGGCACAATCTTATCTTTGATAAGTTCCTGAGTTGGTGAAACGATAATCTGCAAAAGAATGCTGAGACGTGGGTCAAACAGCACGTTGTCATCAAATACTACTCCCAGGCTTTGTTGGTGGTGGTTCTTAGCCTTGCATTACCCATAATGACGTCGCTAAAGGGTGGACGGTACATCGACAAGATAAGCATGATTTCAGTCTTATGATTGAGTTTAAACTCGTTTCTACACACTAAGATGGAAATCAGTTGGGATCGTTGTCATATTTACCTAGGGAGAGAATCGAAAAGAGAGGATCTGAGAAACCCATTAATTTAACGGAACAATTATTTATAGTACGTTCCTTGACAATTTACTAGAATTCAAGAAAGAGGACTGTGCCGTCTTGTTGCAATTATGTTTCATATTGAAATCACTACAGTAGTAAACAGGTTACTGAAGTGCAAAATGGCATCAATCCTGTCACCTTACGTCCAAGTTAGAAAAAGCAAACTAGAACAGAGAAAAAAGCGTGTTGAAGCATATCAGAAACAGCAAGTTGGAGATTGTGGCACCAAACGAGCCTGTAAGGCTGACACTATAGTGGGACTGCAAAGTGTGTGCCTTTGTTTGTAACGAATACAGCTTAATATGAAGTTCGGCAAGTATAAAGAAATGTGTATCATTGTCCACTGCATTCGCTGTGTACTCAGTGAGTTCAACAAATGCTCTTGATTTATTTAATTTCTCGTCTTCCTCGGCCTTCCAAGCTGCTCCACTTTTCTTCTTGCGTTTCTCTGACATGTATGCCTATTTCGCACGTCAGCCTTTTTAGTACATTTTCAAGGAGCGTTCTATAAATTAATGCTTGTACCGTTAAACCAGTGGGCTTCTCAAATCTTCTTTTGTTGATTCTTGGCAAATATAACAACGATCCCAGTTAATATCCACCCTGGTGTGTAGAAAACATCTCAGCTTCAGAAACCTTCAACTAACCAGTAAGTTAATAAACTCAGTATAGTCATTCATAATCGGCACAAAATATGAAGCAAAAATGTGGCTTTCGATAACAAATTTATCACCAAGAAGAGCTGAAAACTTCACTTAAACCTGTCGTGATTCAAATTGTGCACAATTTCCCCTAAAAAACGGCAATTTCGTGTAGCAGATACTTACAGTCCATGAAAAGACACCTTCAAGCCGCCATCTTGAAAGGCTATTTGGGACTGAGTACGCGTCTGAAAACATCTTCCTTGGATTTTCCATTTAGTTGACTTGTTTTTATCATTGGTTTCAATAATAATACAATTTCTTCTTTTATTTTCTTGTCTTTCATGTGATTTTCATCAAAAAAATTGCAAAAATCAAGGAATTCATATTTTTTAGCACAGGATACCCACCATGGTACATCATAATTGCTGTATCGTTAAGTTGACTTGTTTTAGTCATTGGTTTCAATAACAATAGCATTAATACACTTTCGTTTTCCATCTACTTTCCTTTTTATGTGATTTTCATCAAAAAATGGCAAAAAACAAGTGATTGCAATTTTTAGCACAGGGCACCCATCATGGAAGGTTGTTGAAGAACTTCAGCGAGCTGTTGCTGCAAATCCTGAAGAGGTAGTTGTGAGCACCGATCCTAATATTGACTAACATGCCCTAAGCTACAACCATGCAAAGTTTGGTGCTTTTGTCCACTCTGTATAGATCTGAGCCTTTAGCCACCTGACTATTTTGTGTCATCACAAATTTGTGACGATCGGAGCCAACGAGTATGTTTTGCACAAATGACGTCATGTACCATGCGTTATGACGTCATCTGTCACCCCTTCCCTATCAATTCTCAATATTTGAAGAAGTGGGGAGTTGACAGCCCTGCAATGCATCATCGAACCAAGGGACATTTTGTGTCCAGCGGTTTTAGTGAAAACAAAGGTTTGTGGGAGTTGCTGTCTCGCGGGCTCACAAAACCTCCCTAAGGTCGATGGTATTTTGTATTTGCCATTAAGAATCCCCTTTTACTTTTCCTTGCGCGCGGTCTCGCGACCAAATTACCTCCCCTTCCCTTTCGTTTGATATCGATTGTTATCGATGGCCTGCGAATACAGCAACCTCGTTCCCAGGTTCCTATCCTACCCGTCCTCCGAATAGCCGAATTTTGCGCCCATTTTCGTAAGCTATTTTATTGACAGCAACAAAAAGCCTTTTGGAATACCTTATTATAGGAAATGAACGCTCCATAAAATTAAGGTATTGGAAATTAACCCGAATTTAATGGAAAACGACTCTCGAATAAAGAAAATTAACGCGAAAGAGGAGGTAGAATTTCATAATAAAGGAAATTAACGCGATTAAGACACAGTTGGTGGTGACAACTGGAACAAATTTATTTCAACACTGGATGTAAAAAAATTCAAAACTGAGCTGACATCACTTCTGACAGCGACAACGATGAAGATGAATTCGAAACTTGTAAACCTCTGCCTTAGCTTTTGTGAAAGATGAAAAACAAAGGGTAAATGGAAAGAAAGAAAGCTTATAGTTAATGTTTTTTAGGTGTAAAGAATGTCTGGACAGGTTCCAAAATTGGGGGTTAACTGGAAATTAAGAGCGCGGAAATTAACGCTGTACTTAATTAACGTCGCGGAAATTAACGCTCAACAAAATTAACGCGACTTAAATTAACGCGAATTTTAACGATTCGCGGTAATTTCATGGAACGTTAATTTCCTATAATAAGGTAGACGTTTTTAGTTTGTATGTTTTGTTTTCCCAATTCAGACCATGTAATGTTCTCTAGAAAATTCATCAATTATGTATGCACGTGGATAAGACGAAATTTGAAAGAAACAGTTTTCTGGAATACTATCACGTGGTTTGAAAGAGGAAAAGAAACATACAAGCTAAGAAGGTCTATTGCTGTAAGGCGTGAAACTGCGCAGCTGTTACCGTTATATAAATCGCATCATCAGTTATGCCCTTTATTATTCTAATAAGGCTCAGAACACGAAAATGTGACGTAAAACCGGCTAATTCGACAACAGCCAGAATATTAGGTTTCGAGGGGAACAAAACGGTCATAAAAAAAGTATTTACATCAAGTTATTGGCGCAGTAGTTTATTTCACGAGCTTGTGATCCGAAAACTAAGCCAAGAAAATTGGAAAATGCAGCGTAACGCAGTACGTCTCTGTTCATATTCCCTAAACCCTGGCGTTACACAAGTCTTCGAAGCTTCTCAGACTGGAGATGTAGACAAACTTCGGAACATTTTAAAGCAAATGCAAGCCCATGAAATAAATACAGCATTAGACACTATGGCCATGACAATGGAAAGCTCTTTTTGTGGAACGCCAGTAGCTTTTGCTGTTGCTAATGGGCATATGGATGTTTTAAGGTGTCTGGTTGAAAATGGCGGCGATATTAATTCTCGCCGCTTGGTTCGAATATATTCTGATGATCACAAGTGCGACAAGTGTACTCCTCTAATGATAGCTTGTGAAAAAGGACACATAAATGTAGTTAAATTTCTCATTGGACAAGGAGCGTGTACGGACCTTCAAAATACGGGGGGCGAAACAGCTTTACACTTCGTTGTTCGGGCCAAGGGTGACTCGGTTGGCATTTCAAGACGTTTAATTGAAAATGGAGCCGACGTTAATGCAAGAACGCATAATAAACGCACGCCTTTGATGCTTGCGAGCTCTAATGATGACATAAATTTGGTGAACTTTTTACTTAAAAATGGAGCTTATGTTAATCTTGAAGACGATCAAGGAAGGAGCGCTCTTCATTACGCAGTACGTGCCTCTTATCATGATACTTGTGATGTAGTGAGATGTTTGATTAGTGCCGGAGCTAACGTAAACGCACGTACAAAATGTCTCAGTTCTCCTCTGATGAAAGCAAGTGAAATGAATAGTATTAACATTGTAAATTTCCTCATTGAAAATGGAGCCAATATCGACTATCAAAACAAAGAGGGCCTCACTGCTCTTCACTATGCCCTCACATGTTATCGAGGTAACTTTGTTAACAATATCAGTGAAGTTGCTCACAAACTTCTTACCCTCGGGGCATCTAACTTATACAGTAATCAACGACTGACCCCTTTACTTTATGTCTGTAATCGGTGCGAGATTTCAGTTGTAGAGAACTTGGTTCTGAGGCCAGAATATACAACGAAAGACAGGATCGATGCTCTAGAGCTCCTAGGTGCCTCTCTCGTCACTTGTTTGCCACTTAGAGACTATGATGTCCTTGAAGTAGGATATGAGTACATGAAGCGGGCTATGGAAGCAAGGTTTGAAGATGGCTCAAAACTTTTGTTAAAACAACCAGTTGAAGCTGATGAGGATTATCAAAATTGGAAAGAAAGCGAAACCATAGAGGAACTTGCTAAGATAGAAGGTAGCACTGACGCCATAATTTTGGAGGGTCTTGTGATAAGAGAAAGAATTCTTGGAAGGGAAAATACAGCACTTCTTGAACCACTACGAATTGTTGCTCAATACTATGGTAACCTTGGTGATCTTTACCTTCCCACCTGTATTGGACTGTACAAGCGTGTAATTAAGATAGCCCACAGGTGCAGTGACTCAGCCAGAGAAGAAGTTGATAAGTTAACCAGTTTATTATATAAAATGGTCAGGAGCAATGGCTATCCAAAATTGAACGATTTAGTTACATTGCTTGAACACTCGATTCTTGAGTATGAGATGGAAAAAAAGCACATAACAGAGCTAACGTCTGAGAAAAAGCCACTCAAGCAACTGATTGATGCGCATAGATCACACTTGTCAAACTCTCTTCATTGTCTAATAAAACTTGTGCAAATCACGAAATGTTACGAATACGGGAAAACTTCAAGGTGTTTATCAGCGTTACTGCAAAGACTTGTCCAAATGAATCCTCGTGATGATCTTGGAAATAACTTGTTACACAAGGCTGTTGGTAACCTTGTGAGTGGTGAAATCCTCTGCATAGATACAGTCAAATTTTTCATGAATGCGGGGGTCAGTGTTAATGCGGTCAACAACAATGGCGATACCCCGCTTCACAGAGCGGCCATGATCAAGCCCAACAATCGTGCCGAGCTCCTTCATTTGTCTGACATGTTGACGGTTTTGCTAAATGAAGGTTCTCACCATGATTTCGTCAACAATCTTGGTAAAACAGCCATGGACCTGGCCACAACCGACGAGGCGCGCAGGATTCTATCAGAGAATAGAAACCTGGAACTGAAGTGCATCAGTGCTAGAGCGGTAAAGAATTTTGGACTTCCTTATATGGGAGTTGTGCCCAAAACATTGGAACGATATATCAGTATGCATTAGTTAGGATACTGTTTCTACTTAAGGGGGCATTACGGTTGTTTTTTGGGGGAAATGATGTTGATTTGGGAACGAAATAAATTTAGGTAGAAAAGTTATATAATAAAAGCTATTATTAAAAACTGAATCATTAGATAATGCAATTTTAGAGCTCTGTTTAGCTTAGCCATCATGATATATGAGCTATTATACTTTATATGCTCTTGAAATATGGTAACTGTACGCGTCTGCTCAAAATTAAAAACAAGCTGAAAATCGGTTGTTTTTACAAATAAAGTCGGGAAGAATTCTCGATATTTTGTGGGCGTTTTTAATTGAACAATTATTCCACTCGCGCTTGTTGGATATGAGATGATTATAGCCACCCGCCTCGTTGGCTTTCTTATCTGCCACCTCATATCCAACGTGCACTCGTGGAATAATTGTTAAAAATACCGAATTACTCCCCTGGGCCTCAACCTCTCCGCCCCTGTACCACGCAAACGTTCACGTATCCCCTGCCAGTGAGTTTGAGTCCAAAGGCAATTTATTACCAAGGCTTCCTGTCTTTCGCTATCTTAGTAACAAAAGTAAAGAAAATGAGGTCACCTAAATATTTTATCCTCAAGATTTGTTCCCGCAACTTCCACCGAGCGTCCTCAAATTTTGCAACCAATACAATTTTTCTGTTAAATGCAACTAAACGTTTCCCTCTCAAAAACATACTATAATTTAAAAATATTAATCCGCTTCAGTCGTAATTTCAAATGACATCATTATTTGAGTGTAGGCCAGTTTCATCTACAGAATCGACAGTGTTTAAACCTATGGTTTGACCATTCAAATGAAAACTCTTCAGCGGTATACCTGTGCATGATACTATTAATTTACCGCACAGTTCTAACTTGGTTAACTTTTCGGATTCTGTGCCGACGAAGTGCTATGATGGGACCCAGACTGGATGTGTCCATTGAAATTTAACCTCTTCAGCAGCTCTTTTTTCATGGTGTCTATTCCCAACATTTCGCAAAATAAAGTATTGAATTTTCTCCTAATTGATTTGGATATTTTTGAGGAAAAAGAAGTGCCTTTCATTAGGACTCGATGCGTTTTGGTTAGGTTGATTTTGAAGTGCTTATTGTAGAAAGCGAGGTTTTTTAAGGCTTGCCAATATTAGCATACCTGAGATTCAGTCAATTAACTCTTTAAGTCCCAATGTGACAAACAGCAATTTTCTCCTAACGATATCCATATACTGTCAAGAGATACGGTTATGAGAATTAACAAAATGATGACCAAAGAGAAAATGGCTTAATCTGTTATCAAATTCTCTCAACTTATTCGTTATGGACATGTACAGACACCAGTTTGGAGAATTTGTATTTGGATATTTAACAATTAATGAATGAGGCTGAGTATCTTATAAAGAATTATGGAAATCGAGGAGGGTGTTATACGGCCAAGGCGGATAACACCCTTCGAGATCTCCATAATTCTTCGATCATATTATACTAAAGCCGAATTCAATAACTGTTTTATTATTCATTCAAAATAATTCCCTGTTTAAAAAAATAGCTAAAACATGCTTACCTCCATCGATGTTGAGTTCATTTTCGATAGAGCAAGTAAAGGGTTGTTCAGCTCCGCAAATATTCTCCAAATAGCAGATGTCGCCCTTCGAGTTGTCTTCTTGCTGTTCTTGCCATGTTTTTAGCTATTATTCCGCCTAGTTCTTACTCTTGAAACGAGTGAAATGTCCACCTTTTTTGTTTTCACAACCAAAACAAGTCAACCTCGTCCCAGGTCTTCTCGGTTAACGGTACATTAACCTGCAAGGAAGCTGCACTTTTGACGTCATCGGTAAATTAATCGCAAAATCCTTCCAAATTTGGTCATCATTAGCTGGTTATGGTGAATTATGCGTGTGATTTTAGCCAATCAGAATCGGGGAAATATTTTAAATGAATAATAATAATGGGACTTAAGCGCCGGCTAGGGAACAGAATATGGAGAGTGTAGAAATATAAAGAAAGAATTTAAACTGAATTTTAGATAGGGTAGGTCGTAATTACTTCCTCTAGGGATTAACACACGGGAAATGACCCGGCTGCTTTTAGTAATCTTAATAGAGAGGAGAAGTGTGACGTCACGTCACCATGGTAGCACATTTTCTAGATGACAATAAAACCAACGACAACGGCGACGGAGGAAGAACGGCAAAAAATTAAAGTAAAAGGTTTTTATTGACAAAACAACAAATTTGCACGTGCATCACGCTATTTTGTAGATTTCTTTGCCGTCTTGCACCCCTGCGACATGAAATTTTCCTAATTTCACGCGCTCGCTTTATGGAGTCGGTGAACACAACACAAAAGTTGTCTTTTTCCTCTTCTGAACTTAGATACGATCCTTTAGGATTCAACCCTAGAAAATGTCGCCAACATTTGCCAAATTGAATGAAATTGAATAAGATGGATGAAGTTTGAAGCTGTGCGAATTAACTTTTTAAGTGACGTTTTCGGTTTGTTGTCATCCAAAAATGTTTTGCTACCATGGCAACGTGGTTTAACGACTTCTCCTTTCTATTGTGCTAGTCAATACTCTTTTACAATAAGAGTTGTCAGATCGAATTAACTGGCTGTCTTATTACTAACGTGGATCAAAGTAGCCGATTCTTTAACACTTCAAGAATGACGTAAATGCAAACGTCATTGGCAAACTGTCAGTAACCAGCAAGGCTAAACAGGAAAAAGTCGCACCCAATAGGACATTTTAAAGCACCCTCATCAACAATATAATAAACTAGATTTTTAACTTTCTTGCGTGGCCCTGCAGAGTGTTTAACCGTATTTTCGTTTACTCTGCATTGTTCGACAAAATGGGGGAAACCATGTCGCTACAAGTACCATCTGCACCATGTGCAAATCAAGTCTTCGAAGCTGCTAAGACTGGAGATGCCTTGAGACTTCGAACCGCTTTAGAGCAGATGAAAGACAGTCATGAAATAACTGCGGCATTAGAAACCAAAGCAGTTTCAACAAGTTTAAGTTGGGAGCCAGTGATAGGCGAAATGGAAGCCACACCGCTGGTTGTTGCGGCCGAGCTAGGTCATGTTGACTGCGTCAAAGAACTTTTGAGGCACAACGCCAACATTGAAACTCAAGCAAAGTTTATGGCTGTCGCTTGTTTTGGAATGATGGAATTGAGTTTTAAATTTACTCCTTTGTTCATTGCTGCTAGTAAAGGGCATCTAAATGTTGTGCGTTGTTTGGCTGAGAGTGAAGCCGATATCAATAGTACACGATCCAATGATAACTCAAGCGCGCTAATGATGGCAAGCTTGAATGGCCACTTGGATGTTGTGAACTTCCTTCTCGAAAAAGGAGCCAATATTGATCATCAAAACAGTGATGGCGAGACTGCTCTGCACTATGCCGTAGCCGGTGACTCCTCGGATGTTGTTCACACACTAATGAGCCGTGGAGCTTCCCAGTTGTACAACAGCAATGGGATGACCCCTCTTCTAGACTCCTGTAATGGATGCAGTATTTCAGTGGCGGAGGTATTGCTCACCAGACCAGAGCTTACAAAGCAACAACGAATCGATTCTCTAGAGCTTCTCGGCGCCTCTCTTGCCACTGATACCCTCAATCGATATTTCACAGAGCCAACTCTGGGTACAGCATTTCAGTTCTTGAAGCGCGCTATGAGGGAAAGGTTCCAAGTTTCCGCAGGCCAATCGAAACCCCTGTTAAAACAACAAGCGGAGTCCATGGAACCTTACCAGAACAGAAAGGAAAGTCAAAGTCTTGAAGAACTCGCACAAATAGAAGGTGACAGAAACGCAATCATAATGGAGGGTCTTATTATAAAAGAAAGAATTCTTGGGAAGAACAATTTACAGCTTATGGGTACAATTCAAGCTATTGCTGAGTACCAAAATGGTTGTAAAAACTATTACATTAGCATAAGATTGTTTAAACGCGTCATTGATATAGCCCAGCATTTCAATAAGTCAATCGATTTTGCCCTGAATCGTATAATTAATGTGCTTTATCAGATGATCCAAAGTGACTGTCCTCCAAGCCAACAGTTTTTAATCAGATTGCTTGAGCAAACAGTTTTGGAATACGAAAAACAGCCGGAAAAGTTGACAAGAGAACTTCATTCCGTGGAGAGTGAAGAAACGAGAAATTTCCTGACACGTGTAAAGGAAAATGAGGAAGGTGGTCTGAGGAACCATTTGCTGCGACTATTGCAAATCTTTTCCAAACTTGGACCTTATGACAAACACGAAAACACCTGTCTATCATTATTGATGGACAAACTTTCTCGCGTGGATCCTCGCGACGAGTTCGGTAATTCGCTGCTGCATCTTGCGGTTGGAGAAGACCGTAATGAATTGCTTCATGTCATAGCATACCCTAACTCACCATTTTCCTTGCCATGCATCGATACAGTTAAACTTCTTTTAAACGCTGGCATGGATGTTAATGGCGTTAACAATAACGGCTACACGCCGCTTCACAGAGCCGTCACTTTAAAACCCAGCGATGGCAAGATTCAAATTTTGTCAGACATTTTGGAGGCTTTGTTAAATGGGGGAGCGCATCATGATTTTGCCAACAATAAGGGAAAAACACCCATGGACTTAGCGGTAACCACTAAGGCTTGCAGCCGTCTACAGTTTGAGAAAAGAAAACTGGAGTTAAAGTGTATCAGTGCCAGGGCTGTCAAAAAGTTTCGACTCTCGTACTTGGGAAAGGTTCCAAAAACACTGGAGCGCTACATAACTATGCATTAAATTTTTAATAATTTCTTCTGCCGGTTTTTTTTTTTAAGTTTGGTTTCTCCATAAAGCGAGGGTAATTGTTTCAAAGCGTATTCTTTCTTTTCACGTGAATACCGTTTCAATTAAAGTTCTTGAACTTCTGTTTTGGTTTTTGTTACTCAAAAAAGTGAAGATACTGTCCAAAAAACATTTTTTTGTCTCAAATGCCTTCAAACTCGATTTAAAGTCCGTG